AATCCTTGAAGAATCATAAAACTTACAAGCTTCACTACAAGATTCTGCCACTGATGTCCCAACTAAATTTAGCGAATAAGCAGAACAGGGTAAACGTTGCTAAAGTGCTGAGATTATAAAAAGCATCAAGGGGAGGAAGCTGGAGTACTTTGGACATGTAATAGGAGGTCCCAAATATAAGTTGCTACAAAATATTATGCAGCGCAAAATAGTAGGCGCTAATGCAGTCCAGAAGAAAGACTTGATGGTTGAAGAACTGGCGAGATTGGTATGGTATTGATAAAAGCATGCCATTTAGGGTGGCAGTGAATAAAATTAAGCTAGTTATGATTATGTTGGTTATCAACGTTGTGAAAGGACATGGTAAATGAAAAAGAAAGGGACAAGCTGCTTTTTCTGATCTTGCAAGTCATTATAGAGTCCACCCATATTTGACGCATTATCGTAGGACTTTCCTCGACAATCACTGATATTTATATTAAAACTATTAAATTTTTTTAGTACAACATTGAACATTTGTTCTGCTTTGTGTTCAATGGAGAGGGTAAATGTGAAAAATCGTTCACATGGAGAACCATCAGGTAGAATATATGACAAGTGTTAGCTGGTCAATGTAAAATACATCGAGGAGTAGTGTTAACTTCTTCCTTTAGTTCCATGTAGTCGATTTTCCGTACCATTGTCTTAGATTTTTCGGCTATGTTGTTCTTCTTCTACCAGGACCACGTTTACGTTGGATCTTTCCCTGAATGATCAGATGTAAAAGTTCATATTTTTCAGAGTGTCTCATAATGTGACCGAAGTATTCCAGCTTGCGTCTCTTTGTTATATTGACAAGTTGTGTTGTTTGGTTCAGGCGTCTAAGGACCTCCTCATTCCTAACTCTGACGACCTAGATTATTCATAATAATCGTCTATATAACCACATGTCAAAAGCATCCGAGCGTTTAAGAATCGCCTCACTTAAAGTTCATGCTTCCACTCCATACAGTAGCACTGGAAAAATATAGCAGTAGAGTCAAGTACACAATGCTAAAACACTGGGCTTGTTTTATTTCCTCACATATTTTACATATAATAGATGATAGGTAATTTGTGTGACCGGAGCCAGAATTTACACGTCTTGAAATACTTTTGTAGAGAAAGGGTCAAATTCCAAGATTAATTTTAAAACCATCAACTAGTTTCCATTCCTGTGAAAACCTATTATACTATTGTCCCCCCTGATAGCTAGACCTCTTGAAGTAAGAGTCCTAATGGCAACAACTACTCGGGTTAAAATATTATGCCAAAAATGGTTTTGTCACCAAGTTGTGCCAAAAGTCTTGTTAAATTTATTCTATTGAGAGCAATGCTTCTTGCTTTTAAATCAACGATTGACGATTTGTGAGCGGACAAAACCTCTTGGAGACTGACATGATTTTCGGCGTTTTTTCAGTGACTAAATCATCGAGTTAGAATCTATGGAGAAGCTATGAGCATATTAACGTGTGTATTAAAAACGGCGTAGGTAGGTGTGGTTAACGATAATACCAATATGGCGGTGGGATCATGACCGGACTCAATAATATTAAAACTACTATAAAAGTATGGCTAGTTATTTAGAAGATTTAATCATAATCTAAAAAGTGCAATACATTTTTAATAAACTATGATTTATTTATCCCGCGGTAAACACTAAAAATACGATATACTTATTATATATAACGATAAATTAATACAGTCAAATACTATTAATTATTCTCTGAAGTACGGGCCATTACTTTGTTTACGTATTTGTATACTAACCTGTTTGTATACTAACGTTATTCCTGAAGATTTTTTATTAGCATTGCTTCTGCTACTGCAACTACGTTGAGAACAAGAAACTATTATTATGCACGATCACAATATATTATTACAGTTTCTATAAAAGTATTATAAAACTTAAAATATTCGAAAAACAACAAACGTAAATAAACTTATACGATCTGTCAAAAGTGTCAAAACAATATTAACAATAGTATTAACAATATGGCCGAAGTGATGTCGTTTTTACACACGTGATGCCCTCTCCATAGATTCTAACTCGATGGACTAAATCCATCTTTTCTGTCAAATTGGGAGCATTATTTTTGTTTCAAATGTTAAATATAGACCACAAAAAATTTTCATTCGGAATAGACTAACCAAGTTCTTTGGTTTATTTGTCAAGTTTATCACCATTTACAAGTTTTCTGTCGAGTGTTTTTGATAAAAAAACGATTATGATCAGAGTAAGTTCTCTTTCTGGTTGCGAAATCACCTTTATTATTTTGATCAAACCCATTTTTTGCAATAAAATATCTATGGTATTGTCATTTAACAGCCATAAAGCAGGATCTTCGTTAAGTAGGAGACCTGCGAGAGAGACTTGAGAAGTAGACCTGCTTGAACGGTCAATTCTTCAGTTATAGAATTACACATAGGCCTATTTTCACTGGTTCTACAAACTTCATGTTTTAATGGGACATCTGCAGATATCGACCACACCGTATCTTCTTCTACGTGTTTTTGTTTGGTTTATTGAAGGACTCCATTTTTAAGAACAATTTCATCCCCATCTTGAGCGTTTTTATTTTCTTTCCGCCAGCTCGCTCTGGCACTGATATAAATGCATATTAAGTATGTTTGATAGACCACACGTTGAGCCACAGTATTAGGTTAACTAAACGAAATATATATTTTTGATTAACCCAGTGGGGGGTGATTACTAAGTGTTTTCAGCTTATTATAGTATTGATGTGTACATTTTTTGGTTTCTTTGTGTTGAAAATTTCTTCTTCTTCTTGTGCGCCGCTCGATTATCGTGTGTTGGCTATTAAATTGGCTATACTAATGTTGAGGATGCAAGGAATAGTAATGCGCAACGTATAACCTCTCCTATCCAAATGTCAACCTCACCTGCACGGGTGCTGATCTTGATTATGGTCATCCGGTGCATCCTGCTAGATAACAAATGAAGATCTGACGTCCGAGTGATTGCCGGTATAAGCAATCCCCCACTTACTGACCAACAGCTTAGGGCGGATGAGTTGGTGAGTGGAAGGGCATTCTTTTGTCCTGGGGTTGAGAAATCGGCCCCGAAGGCGGATGAATCAACAGATAATGATCAAAGGCATAAGAATGCAGAAGGCAAAGGGGAACTACTGCATTAACGGTTCATAGAGCACCCCCAGGAAAATCACCATAGAATTGACACTGCAATTGCAAACCGTTACTAATCATGGAAAGCGGAGGCCAAGATTCGGCAGGAGAAGAGAAACATATTTATACCACGAGGCCATCTCGATGAAATGGCCAAAGTCAGGATCGTGTAAAAAGGACGGAAGTCTATTATATTATTCCGGTAACAGCACAGAAGATCCGCATCACAAAAATGGTGTAGGTATATTAGTAACATCAGAACTGAGTAAATATGTGACCAATTTCGTACCAGTCTCGGATAGAATAATATTACTCCAAATATATACTTAACCATTTAAAACTAACATACTTCAAATCTATGCCCCAACTGCAGATAAAAAATATGACGATGAAGTCGAGAAGTTGTATGATCAGATCCAAGACATCTTACAGTAACTTAATAAACACAAAATGTTATATATTATAGGTGATTTCAATGCAAAAATTGGAGAAGTTCGACGAGGTCAGACTGTAGGTCCTTATGGTATAGGGCAACCTAACGATCGAGGACAGAGATTGTATGAATTTTGTAAAGAAAACGATATGATCATGAACACCGGTATAAACTACCCAAGCGACGACTATACACTTGGAAAGCCCCTTTTGATGATGACAATAACATTGAGTCTTCAAGAAATCAAATAGAGTATATACTTGTAAATAAGCGTTTCCAAAATGCCGACAAAAAAGTCACTACATATCCTGGGACAGACACTGGATCTGATCATCAACCACTTGTAGCAGATATTAAACTAAGGTTAAAACGAATTCAGCGACAAAAACCAATGTACTTTGAGGATATAAACATAAAACATAAATGAAAAAAGAATTTAACAATAGAATAAAAAACATCGGAGAACAACTAGAAGATCCAGAAGAATTATGGAGCGAATTTAAAAACCAAGTTAACGAAATCTCCACAAACAATGATTATAGAAAAAATTTAATCAAGAAAAATAAATGGATGACAGACAACATCTTGAAATTAATGGAACAACGACTGATAAAATCTAATGAAACAGAATATAGACACCTGCAGAGAAGAATAAAAAAGGAGATCAAATTAGCCAAAGAAAAATGGATGAGAGAAAGACGCGACGAAATGGAGGATATAATATCTAAAAACGACTTATTTAATATGCACAAAAACTAATTCTCTAAACCATGACGACCATGACGTTCTTCCCCGACCTTCCCTCTTCTTTGACCTGGCACAATTCTTTCGTCTATCTTGCCTTGTAATATTAAATGAAATATATTATATCTCTATGTGTGACGCATAACATGGCCAAAATATTCCAGTTTGCGATTTTTAACTGTTCCGACCACTCCCGTAACTTTTCATACCCGCTGCAAAATAACGTCGTTATGAACTCTATCTACCCTACTTACATATTCTTAGAATTCTCCTATACACCCATATTTCGAACGCTTCGAATTTTCTTAGAAGTTTTCTTTCAACCTTCAACACTATATAAAACACATAACATCTTACTAATCTAGTTTTCAGTCTAAAAGTTATAGACATTTTACCTTGCCATGTATAATAACATAATTATTGTACATAACATCAAATATGCACAATGAATTTATCTGAGTATTCAATAAATACGTTTTGCGTGGCAACAAGGCATTTAAATGCCACTGACAGGTGACATTTACTTATGTTCGTTGTAATAAATTCAAAGTAGCGCTTCCAACATCAGTAATATACAAACAATGGGCTAAAGTAAGATAATTGTATGACGGATGCCAAGGAGCTTATGAATCGAACGCATTCTCCCAACTTCTTCGTCAGACATCGTCTTGCGTGATTCCTCGACCTCGACTTCTTCACTTGAAACACGGCTTGACGCAGAAAAATTTAGTGTACCCGAAGCCAATGATTTTTCGTTAAATGGTTTATTTATATCACATTTTCAGATCACTATAACAATATTTTTTATAACGACGTCAGTAATGTGTTAATAGTATAAAATTATATCGAGGTGAAGTTTGTTTGTGTCGTTCCGAGAATTATTAGTTTCCCTCCAAATAATTCATTATATGTATAACTTCCGATATGCCACTTTTAAAGAAGATGGTGTTTGAAAAACACTCCATAAAGGATTATCTTAGAGACGATGAAGAAGTATTTTACTGTGAAATTACAAACGAAATTTTTAGGGATTACGAGTAAGTAAAATAGTTCTCAAAAATAAGAAACATTCATGTACGCCTCATTTTCGACCAGACATGGCATGAATCGTAACGGTTCCCGTTCAGCATCGTTTCCTTTGTCACTTAGGTAGTTTCTCAAAAGGAAAATACCCTTTCTAAATGTTTCTTTTCTAGAAAATGTTTACGGTTTCTCTTAGAGGTTATGTTTAAATATTAACTTATTAAAATTATAATGTAAGACATTAAAATATTCTTCCTTTCTATTTTTCCACGTTTTCTTGTAAATAATTCCCAAATGCTACCTTTATATAGTAGTTTCTGAAGACAATTATCAAATCCTGAGTATATAATAGATATATAATTTGTTGAAAACTTTACTATGGATGAAGTGTGGATATTTGTATGAAAAAGTTATATAAGCTTGTGTAATGTTACTCTTATCTATCGCAGTATCTATTTGATGTGTAATTCAGCTATTTCTGAACAATTAAAGTATATTCCAAAGAAACTTCCACTCATGAACTCATTCCACTAATAGGGTTACATTTACAACAAAGTACCTGAAGACAGTATCCCATTTTATACATACTGGCACATTTCCTTATTAAACAATATGTTTTCTATACAATTTTATTAGCATAATTAATTATTTGATTAAACTGCAGTGTACAATATCCTAATTTATCTTTTTTATTTCTTTCAGAGAATTTTCTGAAAGGATGTTTCTCTACAACTCCATGGTTTGGACATGTTGCATGACAGGAAAACAAAATCTAACCTATCAGGAAGCTCTAGAAAGCGAAGATAATGCTAGACAAAGTTTAAAAGAGTTTCCAATAGAACTCAGACTGCCAATATTGTTTCTTGCTAGTAAAACACACAGAACATCGTTTGGGGATATGACTGATGATGTGTTTAACTTTGTTAAGGATAGATACTTTACAGGAGAAAATTTAGAAACATCTTTTACAGGTTCAAAGTGGAAGGATTCTCATGTCCTGCAGGTTATTGCACCACCAGCTGATACTATCAAAAGTCCAAAAAATGGGTTAGTAATTTGATTTATTACACAACTGTACAAAAATCTTTTTCCATTAATGCTCACTTCTTTAATTAATGCAATTATTAAATATATTCCTAGTAATATTCACAGCACAATTTAGGGCTCTGCATTTTTTGTTGTCACTAAGCGGATAGCTGTTATATTTAAGCAGCTAAAATTTAAAATGAGTTAATACTGAAATAACATATTTTATATCAAGAAAATTAGTCACATAATCTCAATATACATTTAATATAGTTATATGTATGTATATGATTTATTTTCATTTTTATTCTATTTACTTTTTGAGTTTTAATCTATTTAAAATAACCATAAAATGCAAATTTAACTATTTGATCTATTTATAAACATATTTATATACAATTTTGGTGACCTAAGTACTACATATTAATAAAACAGAAAGGTCATTAGATTATGAGAAAAAGATCTATTGTCCCAAATTCAGTAGGGTTCCTCCTCACAGCATAGACTTTTTCTTTTTTTTTAAGGAAAAGTCCGAGTAATATAAAAAGAAGAATACCTAATGCCCAAAATTCAATCACACCAGGAAAAACATATGTTATAAGTTTCAAGACTCTAGGACTTTTCCTCCTAGAAAAAGAAAATACTTAAGAATATGAGAAGAAGAAAAAGACCTATTATTCTAAATTTAATAGTGTTCACCCTCAGGCCAAGAGGAATATATGTCCAAGGTTTAAAACTCTTAAGTATTTTCTCTTTAACAATAAGAAAAAGCAAAGTAATATGAAAGAAGAATATCACACCAGGAGGAATCTATGTTGCAATTTTTAAGATTGTAGGACTATCCTTAAAAAAATAATAATAATAGAAGGCATAAAAATGTGAAGAAGACCAGTTGGCCCTAAATTCAAGCATTTTCTAACTCACTTCAAGAGAAACCTATGTATCAATGTTCAAGATTCTACCACTTTGTCTGACAAGAAAGAGAAAAGACCTAAGAATAAGACCTTACCACAAATAGTTGACCCAAAATCCTACATTGTTCATCTGTTCCTAAGAGGGACCTATTTACCAAGTTTTTCAAGGTTGTAGGACTCTCTCCTTTCACAAAAAAGGCATAAAAAGGAGACCTATCAACCCTAAATTATAGTTTTCTTACTCATGCTAAGAGGAATCTAGTTACCAAGGTCCCAGACCCTAGACCACAATATGAAGAAATCCCTAATTTATTGCATACAAAGCGCAGACATTTCTTCTTTCTCAATACTTTCAATATGACATTTATATAAAGGAGACCAAATAGTGCTGGAATATTCTAGAACTGATCTAACCATAGAACAATACACACTTTTAAAACAGTAGGGGTATAACTCTAGGAGGTACTTATGTACCAAGTTTCAAGATTTTAGGATTTTTCCTCCTGTATATTATGTATACTGTCATTCTCTTAAATGGCAATATACATTTGGCATTTTATACATCATTTTGCAGATCTTGTGTCAATTAGTATGTTTCTATAAATTAGTTACTTTTTCGATAGTAGGAAATTTATTTAAGATAGAGTAGAGCATCGATTATCCTAACTAATTGGGGGACATAGGTATTCAGAAAACTGATTTCTTCAGATAATCAAACTATAATGATTATAGTCATACATATTTATCCACGAGTGAATGAAAGCCATATTTGTATACATACATATTTATTTATCTTTAATGGCAAATAGGAATTAAACGAAAAAAGTGCAGTCTTTGCAACAACATAGTTTTAGCTACAGTATTGAAGAAAATTGAAGATCTTTAAGCATTAATTACTAAAGCATAAAAAACCTTCAATTTTCGTCTGCCAAAGCAAGCCTATGTTTACGAGCGGCTAGGTCGCATATTTTTTTAAAGATAGTTATTTGATACTAGTCACCTTCAGCTTGTGTTTCAAACCAAGACAAGGCCATATCTAAGCAAGTAAAATCTTCTGAAGTACTAATTATGTTTTCATCTTCATTATCCGAACTTGCAGTTGATGAGGTGCTAGATGAGGTGTCAGTGTTGTGATTCATTTTCTCATTGTTGAAATCCATCCATTGTTGAACTTCTTCATCACATCCATTGCAATTGCCTTTTTTTAGCATATCTATCATTTCAGACTTATCTTCCTGTTTTTCTTTTGCATATTATCTTTTTTCCACTATTTTCTACTAAACACAAAACTTTATTCACACTTTTTTCAAGTTCTGCTCTTTTACACTGTTCCATGCTGCTCGGATCATGTAGGATGCATCCTTCAAATCAATTTTTCCATGATTTCTTATCAGGCTTTCTTCTCCCCTCTCTTCTTTTTCCAAAAGAAATTTCTGTAACAATTCTTTTCTATAAAACCATTTGAAAGTTTCAATAACGCCTTGATTCATGGGCTGTAATAATGAACTCACATTCCATGAAAATTATACTATTCATCCAAGCACTCTTTTGCAAAGTATAAACGATAGGCATCACATTCATATTAACTTGTTTAAAACAACTACAGGATAGAGGACATCCCTGCTGATATCTGCCAGCAGAGACCATTCTACCGATTCCTCCTAAATCATAACCTTATCCCTAAATTAGACTCACTAAAAGTCTTTTCAGCCCAAAAGGCGGCCTCGATTCGAACAACAAAACTCCTTGATATCGCCCACATCACGGTAAACCTCCGAAAAATCCTCCAAAACGACCAAATCTGCATTGTAGCCTGTTTACCTAAGTCCCAAAATCCATTACCTAATCCAAACAATTCATCTATCTTCCATCTCCTCATAGCCGGCGTGGCAAAAACTTTCTCCCAAAAACTCATCGAGGATAACCTATCTGAAAACAACTTTCCCTACACCAAAGTAGTTCGAATAATCGCCCGATCCACCAACCAACCCACCTCCTATATCAGAGTATTCACCAGCTCTGAAACCAAGTTCGCTGAAGCACTCACGAGCGATATTTTGATCGAGGGTGAACGGTTGGCCATTCGGTCTAAATACTGTTCAAGATGCTGCAAAAGCTTACATTTCAATACAGAATGCTCCGAAAAGTCTATAATTTGTCCGTACTGCGGACTCAGCCACCGGTTTACTGCCTGCCCCACAATGTCAGCTCCAAAATGTCCCAACTGTAGTGGTCCTCACCCCGCCTTCTCACCACGATGTCCTCACAGAAACACTCATCCCGCAAACTACAACCAAACCCAACCAGTACACACAGAAAAGCAAATCCCATCCTACGATCTCACATCTGACATGAAATCCCTCATCCACTTTACATCCATGCTCCTATTCAACGTCTTCCCTGAAAAGAGAAGCGCAATTACCCTATACCTTAACCAAATTTCCAACGCAATGTATGGATGTGCCATAGCCCCTTCATGCACAAATAATCTAGTCAATCAAACCTTTACCCACCTCCACATCTGAATATCACACTTCACACATCAACACATATTCATACACACACTAACTACACCCATACACAACGCTTTACCTTCCCTCAGCTCACAATCCAATTAATAAACACCTAATCCCATATCTCAATAATAAACATAAAGTCCCAATTAATAAACATACAAAACTCCACAAACGCACAACACTACACTGTGAGCACCGACCACACTCCTTAAGAGTCAATTAAATACACACAAGGACAGGGGGAGATTGGTTTTATGTGGTTTCCCAATCTCATTGCACAATGATACCTGATCCTAGGTGAGGACACAGCCACAGCTATCCTCCACGCATTTTTTCCAACAAACAAACAATGGCCAACAATCTGAAAGGAATCGTTTTTCCAAGGAACTTGTACTTCGTGACAGGCTTGGTATACCTGACTAACTCTTCCGGAAGCCGCATTTCCGCCTCTTGCCTTCTTCTTGTTCTCGGCCCCCCTCCTATCCTTTTCCTACCCTCTTTGACTTTTTAGCTCTTTAGCGGCGCCGCCCTTAGTCTTCGGAGTTCAATTGAAGTCACACGAGTGAAAACTGGCATTTCGAACCAAACAAGCATAAGCACCCAAGTAACAAACCCATCCTTATTCTACCAAAGTAGATGGATGTCTCCCCTTCACGCGCAAAACCTGTAATCACATTTACTTAATACAGTAGAACCTCGATTATCCGTCAGGGCACCGGACCAAGGGTATGACGGATAATCGAAAAGACGGTTAACAGAACATTAAAAAAAATCATAGTATAACTCTCAAATTTTATTTGTATGTTTTATTTGACAATATAAGAGGGATTTATGTTAGTACAGTCGAATCAATTTGATTAAAATTATTCCGAAATATTTGTTTGTTTTATTGTTACTTCACATTTTGCAACGGCTGAGTTTCTTAATCGACGAAGAATTATCAAATTTAGCTTGTTTGCTTCTTCTTGCCGAGAATACCACTTGATGAATTATTGTATGAGCGATGCAGCTCCTCTAGCTTCTTTACGCAAATCTACGTGAGTTGTAATAGCATCATCAACATCGCCACCATCAGAGTCTCTGTCAGCTTCTGAATCAGTTTCGTCCGCCCCTGTCGCCATTTCAACGATTTCATCATGTGTCAGCAATCGATAGCCGTTGGCGTCCTTATCACAAATTAACCATTCGTTTATGTCATCTTTAGGCAACGAAAACAAAACAGTTGATTCAACCACTTCATTTAAGGGGAGCATTTTCATCTTAAGTTGATTCAGGCCATAATTTATTCCACGCTCTTTTCAGCGTTACTTCCAAAACATCAGCCCAAGCATCCACAGCATTGTCGACTGCGTGTTTTAAATTGTAAGCTTTCCAGTATTTTGGCAAAGAATATTACTCTTCCATAACTAGGTTTTGAATAATTTTTTTTCTGTATCTTCTTTTGAATGTTTTTTAATGACCGAATGATCCATTGGCTGTATCAATGATATTATATTCGCAGGCAGAAAAGAGTACGTGATATTTTTATCGTCACTCCGCAGCATACCGGCTTTAGGATGGGCAGGTGCATGGTCCAAACAAAATGAATTGATGACTAAATTTTTACTTATGTTGTCCATATAACTTATGTATGGACCCTGACGGTTAACAGAGGTGACGGTTAATAGAGAGACGGTTAATCGAGGTTCCACTGTACTCTTTTTTGATGTAGATTGTAAATAAACATAATTATAAAAAAAAAAACCTTCATCTGTCTGTCTGATAGACAGACAGATGAAGAACATAAAAATGAAGAAATGCATAACGTGGAAACAGCGTTAAGTAAAAAAAAATTATTGCAAAGACCATCCTACCATATGTAAAGGCTACAACAAAGAAAATAGAAAGAGTGCTAAGAAAACACAAAATAGAAACGATATGTAGTACCGAAAGAACAATCTCAACCATTATACTATTCGTAAAAACCAAAAATATCGGTTATCGAAAAAAAAAAATCAATCAAGGAGTAAACGAGATTTTATGTGGGGAGTGTGACAGGTCATACATCAGACAGACCAATCAAAGAATCCATGTTAGACGAGAACATCGAAAGAAGAGAAAAAACATCATACCTTGCACAACATGTCTCAGATACAATACATACAATAAACCTGAACTGAATGACAATGCTAGCTAACATTGAAATTAAAAAAAAAAAACGTGAAATCAGAGAAGCAATAGAAATTTTAAAAAATCCAAACAATCTAAAATCCAAACCAAAGAAAATGCTCACAGGCTTCCAATGGACTACCTAAGCTCTGACGTCACAATGGGCGGGGCTTAGAAAACTTTTCCAAACAGTTCTAATTCCTGTGTATTTGTCCCATAAGGAAGTTGGAAATTTGTTTTTTTAAATTCTTTAAATAGTAAATAAGGATTTTTGGTTATGAACATCCATTCTGTGGTATTGGTATTATTTGTTTTTATATTTTAAAACTTAAATTATTTTGTTTTTATTTCAAGACATTTTGTTGTTTTTAGCAGGATTGTTTCAAAATCCATAAATCCTTATCCTCACAAATCATGGAATTTATTTACGAAGTTCAAAAATATGTATATTGTTTTATTCTTTTTTAGGTGCCAGTGATTTTATCCCGTAAAAGACTAAAGACATTCGTTTTCTCGTAGTTAATAGTAGTTTTGTTGTCATTACAAACTGAAAAATTCAGTAATACTGGATATCTTCAACACATGTTTATATGCCCAGATCTAAAAAATAATAAACTCAAAAACTATTACATTCAACAAATATTTTTTTAAACACTCACCATGGCAATTTGATAGAAAGTTTTCCACAGAAAGTTATATTACTACTAAAAGTTCTTATTTACTACTTAAACTAGGAGAAAACGAATATCTTTAGTCTTTTAAGGATAAAATCGCTGGCATCTAAAAAGAATAAAACATTAATTTAAATAATATTCAACTTCGTAAATAAACTTAGTGATTTATTGATTTATACTGAAATAACTATGATAAAAATAACAAAATATGTACTTTGAAATACAGTACAAAAGTAATTAAAGTTTTAATCAAACAATAACATAATCTTAAAACATGAACATTTAGAGTAAATATCTTTGATATTCTTACCTCACAAATTCACGAACAACAAATAGTACCAATCATACAGAATGAATCTTCATAACCATAAGCCCTTATTTATTCTTCAAACAATTAAAAAACCAATATTTGAAAACTCAGTTGATTAGTCAGTTCAATTTTATTAGAAATATAGACGAATAAGAGTATTAGCTTATTAGAATAGTTTTAATTAAAAAAAAAAAAAAATGTAATGTGTGTATATATAATATAAATAAGAAATCTCACAAATCTCTAAAAGGAGAAAGTATTGTCCTTAGACATATTTAGTTTTGGGATATGAAATTATTGATTGGCCTATTATGGTATTCTTATTATCATGTACCTGAAAAAAGTTGTTTCTTTTTTAAGTACCTGTAGAACATGTAAATTCTGACCCGCAATTTGGTTTAGTTGGCTTTGTTTTTCTTGGTGGTAAATCCATATTGTTAAAAATAATAATTATTGCTTTCTTAGAATCTGGTGGATTTCTTCTGCTGTTATTATTTTACACTAATTTATCAGGTGATGTTTTGGCTTTATATTTATATCGATCTTTTGAGTTTATAAATAATTAATGCTTTAAAATTTATCAGTTCGAGTGCAGAAAATGTAATTGATTTCTTTGTTATAGGAACAAAACAGATAGTCACTTTTGGCCTCCAGCAAATCTCTTTAAATATGAAATTGAACACTTAGATGCCGAGGATAATGACATCAGTGAGATAATGATAGTCGATTGTAACCAAATAAGACGTAGAAAAGGCTCATTTAACAGAGATAAATGTAAACTATTCCTGAGACAATATGTGGAACATGATTCAAAGGGAATATTCGCCATAAAAGCGTCTGTAATTGAGGAACTAGGAATAAACAAAATTAAATTTGAACAAATATTCGATGGTCCTATGCCCAATTTTGAAGTTTCTAAAGAAAAAGAGAAAAAGCCGAGTACAAAAAAGAAGTTAAATCAAGAAAAAATGTCTAAATATTTAACAAAGACTAATGGAGACATCACAAACAAGCCAGCACAAAATACGAATGCCGAAGAAAACAAAGTAAACTTGTTGGAAGAGATGAAGAAGCGAGAAGAAGAGTTTAAAATTAAACAGCAGCTTAAAGAAGAACAAAGGATCGCTATGAAAAAGAGGCATAAAGAAGAAAGTGTTATATTAAATAGTTCTATTAAAAAATGGATGCAACCAAAGGAAGATACTGAACTGGAGAATCAGAAAGTAAGTATTCATTTTATATTGTTGTAAATAATCTACATATATTTCATTATACTAATTTGTATGCTCCATAGTAGCCTTTAATATACATAATGAACACGAATTGGTAAATTGATAGCTAATATTGTTTCATAACATAGCTTATAGTTAGCTAATAAGTTAGATAAATGTTGTAAAAGTCTTCCTCATGATATTTTCTTTAAAAAACAGCAATTTTAATAATGCTTTAGCCTATATATTATCTATCCTTATCAGCTTATTGAGCCAGGTCCTAAAACTCTTCTTAAAGATAATTCACACAAGAATATACACCAGATGTGAAAGAAACATTAGTCCCACACAGCTCGGTTTCACACAACTATTTGGCACAAGAGAAGCACTTTATAGTGTAATAATTTTATTAGTCCTAATTTATTGTCTTTATTTTATACTAATTTATTTTACACTTAATAATTACAAATAATTTATTTGCGTTCGATACAATTTGACGCGATGTCCGCGGTCTTCTTGTTGACTGACTCCTCAATGAAAATCTTCTGTTATTTATTTGAAACCAGCTGGTAAACAGAATGTTGTAGAAAATACGATGCCATTTTCGACGTAGACACAGCGGCAACTGGTCTCAAAACTGGTATGTTTTTCATCGGCTCATCCCCAGAAAGTTCGATTGTTGTTTGTTTGTTTAGCGAAGGGAACCCAAAGAGTGTTAGGTAGATTTTTGACCTAGAAATTACGAGAATCAATAAAAAAGAATTAGTCATAAAATATTTACAGTTCTATACGCCATAACATTTAAAATCGTAACAATAGCTTAACTGTTCTACTTCAGAAAGCATTCGATTGTGTTAATCATTCAGAATTAATAAGATTGCTCCAGGAACGTTCGATAGATGACCTTCAAAATCATAAAGAACCTTTATATGAATCAAGTGACATCTGTGAGAGTAGGACTGGAATCTACATCATATTTCTCAATCGAAAAAGGTGTACGACAGGGTTGTGTTCTGTCACCCCTTCTTTTTAATCTTTACTCTGAAACGATTTTCGATAGAGCCTTAAGTGACACTGAAGATGGAATCAAAATCAACTGACAGACTATTAGTAATCTTCGCTATGCTGATGATACAGTCATAATAGCTGATAGCCAAGAAGCGCTACAATGACTAATATATAGAATAAACACTGAAGGAGAATGACTGGGCTTGAAGATTAATATAGACAAGACGAGAGTAAGGGTGGTTAGTAGAACACGTTATATGCAATTGAATATAAGAGTAAACAAGAACATCCAAAAGGTTCTTAAGTTCAGATATCTCGATAGTTGGATAACTGAAGATCTAGATGCAGACATAGAGATACATAGCAGGATTGAGCAAGCCAGAACAGCATTTACTAATATGAGAACCTTGCTAAGCAACAGTAGCCTCAACTTAATGCTTCAATATCGCTTTGTAAAATGTTACATTTACTCCATACTGCTATATGGTGTAGAAACCTGGACCATAAAGGCCAATGAGATGAACCGATTATAGGCCTTTGAAATGTGGGTATTTAGAGAACTACTTAAAATTCCCTGGACAGATCACACAACAAATGTCGAAGTATTAAATCGAATGGGCAGAGAACGAGAATTGTCGCCAATAATAAAAAGAAGAAAAACTGCTTATCTGGGTCATATATTTCGAAATTACAAGTACCAGTTCTTAAAGCTTATCATGGAAGGGAAGTAGAAGGAAAACGAGGCATCGGAAGAAAGAAATACTCATGGCTTAAAAAACATAAGGGATTGGACAAATCTCGATTCCCATGCACTTTTTAGAGCCACACAAGATCAAGAGGAGTATTCCAGAATTGTCGCCAACATCCACTAATTGGATAGGGCACCGTAGGAAGAAGAAGCCTATATATCTGAAAATATATTCATAACTTATTCAAATAGAAGCGACTGCAGCAACAATAGAGAAATTATTTTACTAAATACTGCAAATAAAACCTGTGCAATGATCCTAAACCAGATTAAAGGTTTTAACCGAAGTACAAAATGGATTCCATAAAGTTTATTTTTTTTACTTTATTTATTGTAATTGGTTATCAATATAACAATAAAAAATATGTTTAAAACACAGAAAAAGTGACACAGTGCGAGCTACACCCAGTGATGAGCACCTTTTACCTATATTTAGTTTACATTACCAATTTTTTTTGACTTGTATACAAACAACTACTTACAATTTAAACAAACTTCTACGTTCTTAGCAGTGGAAAGATCTAGATCTAGAGGATCCAATCTTTTAAGTCTTCTAAGCAGAGGCGTAAGGAGATTGTTGGCGAGTGGATTTAGATGAGATGCTGAGTGGCGTTTGCTTCTCAAACAGTTTCAACATTCAGGTAATGATAAATAATAACATCATTTGGCACATACCGTGGGGCATTGCAGACATCATGAAACACTTTGGATTGAAATCTTTGTAGCCTTTGCAAATTTGTATTACTGGCAGTTCCCAAGATTTGAATCCTGTACATCCATACTGGTCATAGTATGGTCTTATAGAGAAGAAGTTTGTTTTGGGTACTTAAACCTGACTTGATTCATAAACCAGTACATTTTTTTGTAAAGCATGCCCAGATGCAGCTGTTTGGACCATATATGTTTTCCCCAATTTAGATGATTGTCTATGTGGATACCCAGATATTTGACATTGTTTCTAGTAATAATACTTAAAAATGTGAAAATGGAGCACCTTTTTTTAATGTATTTGTAATATTGTTCTGAAGCTATTTTCTTGTGGCATTGTAAATTAATTACTATTAAACTGGGAATAAGCCACAATTAAAGATAAAAATACGTTTATTGACGTTTCAATTTTTTCAAGATTTCCGAAGTGGAAATTGAAACGTCAATAAACGTATTTTTATCTTTAATTGTGGCTTATTCCCAGTTTAATAGTATTTGTAATGTTAATGTTTTCTTTTTTCAGAAATTACCAGACTATATGCCTGTCAAGTCAAAAATACCTGAAAAATACTTTGGTGAAATGTTGATGATCATGGAATTTATTCAATCCTTCTCAAAGACTCTGTCTACCAAAGACTTTTTCCCCAAGGGTGTTAACTTAGAATTAATGGAGAGAGTATTAACTGAGAAGGAAGTAGCAGGAGTTTTCATAGATATGATTCAAATGTTTCTGACAGCTCTATTTAATTGTCAAGATGAGGAGTCAAATCAGTACAAAACATATAGCCAAACAAAAACTGCTTTAGGTAATTATATGATTGATTCTTAAAAATCCTTACTAAAGTGTGATCTTTTATAGGTGTCATAGATGATGAAGATATCAGCGTAACAGATGCAACTCGTTTAGCTACCTTGGCTTCAAACTGGAGTAGTAAACATCAAGGTTTACCCTTACACCGTTTACCTTTGTATTCTGTGACAGTTTCTGAAATACTTCGGTTACATCTGTTATCTTCTGGAGCTCTGATCGAAAGTGGTGGATCGAAATGGAGGTAAGAAAATCTGATAGCAGATATGTTATCTATTTCTATAAATACTGTTTTAAGAGTGGCAAACCTTAACTCCTGTTTTCTAAAAAATATAGAAAAATACTTAACATATACGTAACAAGTGAATGCTTATCATGTATACTGTATACCTCATCACAAAGATTCCAGCTTTGCTGCCGGTATCTTGGTAAAAAATTGTAAAAATATTGTAACTATTATTTTATTCAAGACAGGATATTTCTCACGAAAATCAGCCGTGCATTCTGGAAACGAATACTTGCATATACTGTATCCTTTTTTTTATTATGACACAATCTTTAGCAATCAAAGCACAAATAAAGTTCTATAAGCTAATTTGCTGGCTGCGTTGCAAGGGACTCCTATTGGCGTGGTGAGGTCTTCTCCAGTGACAAGACCACTTTAACCGTTTTTCAGGACAACTGGCCAGTTCCTTTTGAGTCTTCTATTGGCTTGGTGTTCTAGCAGAGGTTGGAGTAAGGGGTTACTATGTGATTCCAGTGCTTCATGGTGCTTTGTGCTGTATTTAGTGGTTACATCCTGTACTAACGGGATTCTTAGGTCTTCATAAAGTGTTAGGTTTGACACATACCAAGGTGCATCAGCTATCGTTCGGAGTATTTTTGATTGGCATTTTTGAATTATGGCTGTGTTTGACTTGCTCGCACATCCCCAGAGTTGGATTCCATACGTCCATATAGGTTTTATGACGGTTTTGTATACAAGGATGTTGTTTTCAAGGCTCAGTTTCGATTTCCTGCCTACTAACCAGTTTAGATCTTTCATTCTTAGGTCACTTTGTTTCCGCTTCTTAAGAATATGTTCTTTCCAGGTGAGTTTTGAGTCAAGATGTATTCCTAGGTATTTAGTGCTAGAGGTTTGGGGAAGTTGGATATTGTTAAGTGAAACTGGGGGACACAGGTTTCTTCTCAAGGTAAAAGTCACTTGGACTGTTTTTGTTTCATTCATTTTAATTCTCCACTTGTAAGACCATGTCTCCATTTCATTCAGTTGTACCGGTAGAATGTTAGGATGTTATAATTGGATTTTCGTCGGCTGCAAGGATGACAGCATCATCTGCAAATGTGCCAGTGATGGTTTCATTAGTGGAGGGTAGATCTGCTGTGTATAGCACATATAATATTGGTCCAAGAACGCTGCTCTGTGGAACACCAGATTTTATAGGAAAATTATTGGAATTACTTTCATTCACCCTTGTTCGGAATTCTCTCCCACTCAGATAGGATTTTAACTTTCAGCTGGGATGTATTGGGCTTTGCTACCTGTATTGTTCGCAGGTGTAGCATTTTGTACAGCCTCTATAAGAGTGTTGTTTAAAGCCGTTAATGTTTCGTCTATCTGTCTTGTTGTTTTTAGGCTTACTTGTAGACTAATATCTTCTTTTAATTTGCTGCGGTATTTTTCCCAGTTACTTCTCCCAGTGTGTAGCCTTGGAGTGGCCGTTTTGTAGACTATAAAACTGCTGATGGTTGCTTTAATTGGGGAGTGGTCAGATAAGAGATGAGTGAGTCAGATGAGTGGTAGTTGTTTTCATTTATTTTAGTAGTTCTCTGCCCTTAGTTGTTGTGAGACGAGATCCAAATAATATATGTTTGCTGTTGAAGTCTCCCCCTGCAATAAATTTATGTCCTAGTTTCGAAGAAGTTTTTGAAATCATCCAAAAAAATGAAGAAAATTGTTGTTTTCTGTTATATGGATTATATAGTTTTATTTTGGTTTTATTGGAAATAATGAATTTCGTTTTTTGTGTTGTCATCCAAACTTATCCAAGTCCATTTATTGTGTTCTTTTTTCTGCAAAAATCTATTCAGATGTAGTTGATGTTTTAAGAGAAAGTTAAAATACTGCCTTTACTGTTTGATTCTTATTCCATATGGGCCGATTACTGCCTCAATTTCATACAGTCGTTTTGAGACTTAAGACTCGTTAAGTCTCCTATGAGAAAAGTTTGACTTGAAAAGTTTGACTGCACCCAGTCAAGGGCCGTCTTAATGTCCTCGTAATATTGTTCTATTTTCTTGTCACCGACTGCAGATGTATGTGCATATACTTGGATAATTTTTATATTGAGTGTTTTACAATGTCTGGTGTTTTCATTGTGATTATAAAGCTTATCGTAATTTTGACTTTTTTTGATAACTCTATATAACTGTCACTGATTATCACACGATGGTGCTTAAGTAAAGTTTTAAGAAAACAGTTATCTGCATATTTTCAAAATATTGTAATCTGATGGACAAAATTAGCTAAATCAATCCTACTATTAAATATCAGATTTTCTACATTAATAAATTAATTTTGTTCTAGGTATGCACTAAGAGGTGGTTATACAAGTGAAGATGATCCTGGTTTACATCTGCGACTTCATAATCCTGAAATACTGAAAGCTTTGGCTACACATAATGTCGTTGATCTCCCCATGAACCAAAAATTAAAAATTCTTGACTGTTTGATGAACCAATTGCTTACTTATGCTGATGTAAGAGATATAATAGAAGATCGCTTGGCGAACAGTAAAAAACAAATCCTGGACTTGAAGGCGATTCAGCTGGCAGAAAAGAAAAGGGAGCAGGAGCATAGTGCTGCTAAACAAAAGTTACAGAAAGAATTAAAAGGCGAACCTGACAAGTTAAAGAGTAAATTAGATACTTTAGAAGGGGTTGCAGAAAGACAACGTTATAAATATAATCAGAAAACTAAAAAAGTAATGGAGAATATCTATGATGGACAAACAGTTCTAGGGTAAGTTTTGTAAATATTGTACCAGTCTTTATTTTCATAATGACGTAAATTGCATTTAGTGTCATGTGATATCTTATAATCAATAATTAAAGTTACATTGCACATTCATATATTACAAAGCTACTTTGCTAGGATTATAGATGTAATGAGGACCCTGCAAAAATCAAGGGATTATCACCGAAATTACTTTTCTATTGTCTCTCCAAAACGAAATTTTTAAATAGTATGATGTGTTCTGTGGGATTTCTTCTTAGAGTGCCGTATCCCTAGGGAGGTTGGCAATCATAATGGCTATTTTTATTTTAGAACTTGCTGCTCTAAACAAATCAATCGATCTGCATTGATACCAATCACATAGATTCTTTAACCATGAATTCCTTGAATCTTTCCCTGTATTATGAGTCTCAAAATTTGATATTTTGGACCCCTCATCACGTGGCCTAGGTATTCCAGTTTTCGGGTTTGTATAGTGGTGATTAGTTCTGTTCTTTACCAACCCTCTCCAGTACTTCTTTATTTGTAATTCTATCAGTCCATGATATTTTTAATACTCTGCGGTATAACCAGAGTTAAAAAGCTTCGATTCTTTTTATATTGCATTTTTTTAATGTCCAAGTCTCAGCTCCTTATAATAATATTGAAAATATATAACAACGAATGATACATAGTCTGATCTCCAAATTTAGATTTTTGCACTTAGGAGTTCGTATAAATGCTGATCTGGCAATCTCTATTCAGCTGTTTATTTCTATAGTATGATCAAAGTTCCCAAGTACTGATATTTTTTTGTTTCTATCACGTTACCATTGATTGTCAATAGATGATGTATATTTTGTGGTCTTTTGTAATTAGCATGTACTTCGTTTTTTTAGGGTTTATAGTAATTCCCATCTCAGCACTATTCATACTCAAACTTTCGATAAGATGTTGTAGATCCTCTATACTCGTTGCTATGATCACAGTGTCGTCTGCATATCGTAAGTTGTTAATTAATTTTCCGTTAACGGTGACTCCCTCTTCGATATTATTGAGCATGTTTTGGAACATTTCTTCAGAATATAAGTTAAACAAAAGTTACGATAAAACAAATCCCAGTCTAACTCCTTTACAGATATAGAGTGATACCTCATTTCTTCTGAGTGTTGCCCGTCAATTTGAACTATGGTACTTTGATTATGTTTGCACTATATTTATGATTTTACTGTCATTGCGCTTGTTCATAAGTATTGATATTAGTTTTTCATGTCTTACTTTATTTAAAGCTTTTTCGTAGTCAACAAAGCACAAGTGTAGATCAACGTTTACGTCCCGACATCGCCATTCCATTTCGGAACCTGAACTGCGTCTCGCTAATATCCTCCTCTAGTCTTTAATATATTCTCTTATGTATTACTTTCAGCAGTACTTTTAACATATGACTCATGAGGCTCAGTATTCGATAACCAGAGCACTTTTTTGCTGCTTGTTTTTTAGGAATGGTTATAAATGCTGACTTCAGCGACTCTTGTTGTATTATTCCCTTATCATACACTGTGTTGAATAAATCTGCCAATATTTCAAGTTATCCTCTTCCACTAGTTTTAACAGTTCTACTGGTATTTCATCTAATCCAGCTGCCTTATTGTCTTTGGAGTTTTTGATAGCATATTGGATTCATCTGTCGTAATGTTCTGTCTCTCTAAAGGATTTAATTCTTGTATTTTCTGCATTCCTCTTTCATCTTGGAAAAGATGAAATTTCTCGAACGTACTCCTCCCATCGTGTTCATTTCTCTGGTAAATTCTTAAAGACCTTTGATGATTTATTAATTTATAATTAGGTCCTATAGTTTTTTAAACATCTTGTAGTTGTGAGAATCCTTCTTCAACTGCAGATTCGCTTTTCACTATGTCATGCAATGGGTTATATGCTCTTATGAAATATTGTTCTGTTTGTGTTAATTGCAGTTCTTTTGACTTTGTCCAAGGCAAATTTAAATAAAGTGCAAGAGAGTGTTTATCTTGTCTAACGCCATTTTTAATTGTGATTGTGCGAGACAGATTTCTCCTGACCTAACTTTGCTCTTTACATTTTCGGTAGTCAGTTATATGAACTAGCTTAGCAACAAATATATGGTGTGTAACGATACCATATGCATTTGTCTTTTCCAGAAGTTGGAGCGCAATTCGTATTATTCATGTCTTTTATGTCATCTAAATCATTAGTATCTGTTTTCTGTTACCTTAACTCCATCATCGCCCTTAACAAAGTCCTCAAAAGATATTCTTGATTCAGATAGCACTCTGATGATGGAAAAGCACAGTGTACATAACAATTTGTTATAGTAGTCATAGTTAGGTATATTTCAAAACCCCAAAAATCTTGGAAATATGCATACTCGAAAAAAAATGAATCCTAAAAACATTAATTATTTTAATTGCATACGGAATTTAATATAAAATATTAAAGCCAAGCAAGAACGAAACCTGCCAGATCTGTTCACAGATATGAAGAAGGGAGTGTCATGTTCTGGGGAAGCATTATTATTGCTGAAAAAACTTCTTGCAACCAACTTGCAACAGCTCTCACACATATTGATTTGGTTATAGAAGCTGTAGGTTCTGGAGAGGTGCAATGAGAGAAAATTTAAATTTCCTGCGTGGTAATGCACCTCTACATACCAACAGAGTGACTGCAGACTACCTTGAAGCAGAAGATATCACTGCTCTGGAGTGGCCTACTTGCTCACCCGATCTAATAGAAATATAGAAAATTTGTGTTGTATGCTTAAAAGAATTAAAAATCGCCTGGATAATCCAAAAAACATCGCACAGCTAGTACAAGCTGCTCTTAAAGAATTGAACAACTTATCACAACAAAATGATGACATGATTTAGGAGCATGATCACATGAATTAAAGCTTGCATAAGGGCTAGGAGTGGTTACTGTGATGACACGTGGTCGGGTTTATAGGATAGGTTAACTTTGAGAGTGGAGGTTGGGTTAATAATGAAACACCTTCTATCTATCGAGACTAGATTCAGGTTTTATTTCCTCTTTCTTGCACCTGTCGTCACGTCACTCTTACAATGTTACCAACCTGAATGCATTCTGAATATTTATTTACATACATCACAGTGTTGACTATTGATTCTCTTGTGATATTTTGTGGGGTGATGTTAAATAAGATGCAGAGTAAGTCTTCTCTTTGGCATAGTCCTCTCTTAGTAGAATTTGTATCTGTTAATTCGTTTTCGATTCTGATTTTGCTCTGTACTCTGAAAAATATTGATGGAATAAAAGATGTTACCACTATTGATTTTCCTGAGTGTCAATGATATAACTATCAATGGCCTCTCCAAACTTTACATTGTTTTCCTCTCTCTCCATCTCATTTGGTTTTAACCATATTCAGTCATTCTATTTTTACTTTATGTTTGTGATATATTTTATTTAATTTTAATGTAATTACTAATTATTTACTTTTTTTTTCAGTACGGATAGAGCATACAGAAAATACTTGAAAATAAATTCTGTACCTGCAATATTTGTCAATGATGAAGATGAGCATACTGGCATTTGTAATGACTCAATTTGTGGTCAGAATCCTGAATTAGTTGACGCCAGTAGACAACAGCTACTTCATTATATGAGAAAAAAGTATATTACCAGTTCACCAAAAAGTTCTAACAGAAGAAAGGTATACATGTCATTTTTTAACCGACTATATTTTATTAAACATATTGGTTAATATTTTAGGTGAATGGTACTTTGGATACGCCTCTTCCACTAGTAGTAGACGAAAATAATGCCAAAGAGTTATTAATGTGCACAGCCAATCCCGAAACATGTCCTGTACATTCCAAAAGTATTGAAAGAGTAAAGTGGTCTATTATATACCATGAAATTCAACTACAAGAAGTTGAAGATAGACTGAATAAAAGAGGTATTCGAGAAGGAGAGTTGCTTCAAGTTATACAAAACTACAAGGAGAAGTTGGAATATGTTGTAACTCACACGCCGAGCAATATCTTTGCTGAAAGTATGGTGGGGAAAGAAGAACTGGACGATTTGGGTCCAAGGTAATAAAAAATACTTTTATTAAATATATAAAAAAATGCGTATCTATGTTTTTGGAAATATGCCTACTACTATTCTATCTGCCCATCTTCTTTCTAAAAAGGTCTACTTTGGTACATAATTTAAAATGTTTATTTAAATTTCCAGTACATAGTATACTTTTAATTAGTCATAACTGGAGAATTGTTATTAACAATTTTTTTATTGAAAAAATTCGTACGCCATTGGATTTATAGTGGCTTCAAATAGACAGAAATTTCATTAAAATATATTTATTAGTAAAGAAGTTAAAATTTTAAAACTCACCAAACTATGAGTCACTAAGAACAGACTGTCATGGAAACATAACTTTAGTTTAAATCCTAGTTGCCACTACTAATATTCGCTCCGTGCGTGACCATGGTAGGGATACATTGAAACGATGCCAGCGTGCGTAGCGGCGAAATATGACAAAATTGGAATATTGGACAAAATATTTTTACGCATAAATTTTATCAAAAATGTGTGCAAATACATGTTGCGTATTTAATTGTGCTAATAATAGCAAAAACAGTGAGTAGTTTTTATAGGTTCCCAAAGATTACTTATAAATTAGAGAAAAGAAAAAGATGAATTCGTGCTATTAATATGAAAAAGTAAATATCACAATTTCATTTTTATGCAATTGAAATATGAAAAATTTAAATAATTTACCTTAAACGATATTTCATAAGGCTTCAAGCCAACTGCAGATGACTTTAGCTTTTATATCATAACTTTTACTATTATTGTTTTTAATTATATGCTCTTTTGCGTGAAAAACTTGATTTGCCAGTACTAGATTTTTCCCTTTCTTTTCCGTTTGGAGTTGAAAAGATATATTATGATGAATTTTGAGAAACCCAGTTTTTAATACTACATTTATTTTGTACATAAACTGAAAAAATATAGTTAAAAAATTAATTTATCAATAATTGTCAATTTCGCATGTATTTAACAATGTCAAACATATGTCATATGTTTAACCTGAAAATTGTGACTCCAAAATTGTCAGATGAAGGCGGTAGGTGTCGCGTCAGTCACGCACGGAGCGAATACCATCTAATTGGATAGCTTTTACGAATATTTCTAATTACATTTCTCAGTTTTTTTTGTGGCATAGACTTTCGTCATTCAGCCAGTCTCGAAAGGTTATAATATATTAATATATTCCTTAAGAAAGTATATACACATAAGTACAGATTATTTCTCTCAGAAAAATGCACAGTGATATCCCTAAAACTAAATAGACGAACGAAGGACACTCGCTTCTCGTCTAGGGGTCCATCAAGACATTTATTTTAACAGACAAACGGATAAGGTATTGTTACATATAGGATAAACAAAGGGTACAAGTCTAACCCTATATACGCTCATGAAAGTTTTCATGAACGAGTATCAGATTTATAAGAAGATATGCATGTGTCTGACAAAAATTCTATAATTAAATTATATATTGTTACAGAACCTATGGCTAACAAGGACTGTATATTATATGGAGCGTATATGTTGCATTTAGTTAACTTTGTATACAGGGAGTTTGAATGCTGAATAAATTTCGGACATTCAAAGAAGATGTGATCGAGGTCACCTAGCTTACCGCAATGTTTGCAACTATCATCATCGATGACTTTTATAAATGGCGTGGGTAGCATGCATGTCCAAAAGAGTAGTCGATTTATAGTAGTAATATATTTACAAGGAGCTTTGAAAATCTGAAACCAGATTGTTTGAGGTATAATTGGTTGTAAAGAGGTATACCTTTTATGGTTTGTAGAACAGTAATTTTTCCATTGCTCTTTCCATTGAAATTGCTGATTTTTTTTTTAAATCGTAACATCTAATGTTTTAAGCATTTATATCAACGTAGAGCCAGTTGTTACAGTCATTTTAGCTAAATGATCTACATATTCATTACGTTTGAGACCAATATGTGCTTTGACCCAAATAAATTTTATGTTGACTCCAGTCGATGAAAAATGATACAATCGATCTTTTATTTCAAATATGTAGGGGTTGCTAAATGTTGAGGGCAATTCAACGTTTTTTATGCTCTGCAAAACTGAAAGGCAATCTGACATAATTAAAATATGCCTATTGCAGGTGTTTTTAACATATTTTAGAGCTTCAAGTATAGCTATTGATTCCGCTGAAGAGATTGAAAATTCATTTAGTAGTTTATACTAAATTCTACTTTTGTAGCAGGTAAAAAGTATACACATCCAGTCCCTTCTGTTATTTGTGATGTGTCCGTGTATATTACTGTGTGTATATTTCTCAGTTGGGGAGTAATTTCTGTACATGCCTGTGGAATTCTTGCATGAAGCTTGTTTACATATCTTGTGCAAGTATAGTAAACTTTTTGTTTGACAAGTTCTCAGAAGAAGAAGTCTAAAATTGCGATATTTGGAGATCTGGGTGGCCAATGTATCAACGAACTACCACAGCGTGTCTAACAGATTGTAAAATGTTTATTAATTTTTTTCACAGTTCCAGTTGAACAGGACACTTATCTAGCTGGATAAAAATCGTTCATTAAGTGGAACTTAATCAGTATGCATGTATGGCATACTGGATTAAACTGTACTTCTTTTGAAATCTTATCCTGTTTGGTATACAGGGAAAATTATAAAAGATCTGCAGGTAAAGGATCATCTACACAAAAAATACAAAAAAAAGTAAATGGCAGGCTGATTATGTTGCATTCTCCAGTTTCATAAAAATAATAAAAAGTAAGATTGATATCGCATACAGAACCGATGTAAATAAAACTGACTCTAGCCTAAAGAGTGATCACAAATAATTTTGGAAATATATTCGCCAAATACAAAATAAATCTCACATACCTGGCTGTATGAGCATTGGCCAATCCACATATGTGAAACATATCAAACTATTGTCAATGCATTCGCTAATTTTTTCAAGAGTGTTTATGTAAACTACCCCCACCTATCAGAATACAAATGCTCTCAAAATATAATACTCCATTATTTCACTGAGGACGAAGTCTACTATGTTATTAGAAAAATGAAAACACACACAGTTGGTCATGTAAAAATTCTATCCTTTATTCTTCGGGATTGTTCACAATGATTTACAACTCACATGCATTTTATTGTGATGTTTTTCTATGAGTTTAGAGATTAAGTCAAGCAAACGTGGTTTAACTAACTTTATTTAACTCACTAAACTACAAAAACAAAACAATATGGAGAATTAAAAATATCGGAAAAGAAATGAAAGACAGAATTTACAAAATAGTCATCAGATAATGACATACGCGGCAGAAACACGACCTGGCACAAAGAGGACAAAAAGGATGATAGAAACGGCAGAGATGAAAAATTGATGGCAAAACACTATGGGACAGAGCTAGAAGTACAAATATACGATGTAGGTGCAAGGTGGAGAACATCAATAACTAGGTAAGAAATAGAAGAGTAGAATGGAACGATCATATAAGCCGAATGTCAACAAATAGAATAGTAAAGACGGCAAGAGGGGGTTCCCCCATAGGAAGACGATCAGTAGGAAGACCACGAAAATGATGTAACTACAACTTACTGGAGACACATTGAAAAACAGACAGTCATCATGTGTACATAAGAAAAAACTACAAAAACTCACTAAATTACAAATATCATAAAGTCATAAGTACATAGATTAGTATTGCCTACAATCACACGGGTATAGTTTTACAAAACACTTTGCTAAGACTATTTCAAAGGCTGACTCAGCCTTATATAATAAAACATCTGTTCTAGAAATAGCTAGCAAGTGACGGAATGCGATAACACGAAATTCCAGAAAGATACCGCGACATAGACATCGATAGAACAGATAGTGAAATATTAGAGATGAAAAGAGCTTTGTTTCGCGACGTACTGGACTGCCTGCAATTAGGGGTCACATATAACAATATATTCAATTTGGATATAAAATCTTGTATTTTCCTTGAGCTTTGGAAAATTGCTAAAAGTTTCCAGTTCATAAAAGTGGCTTAACAAACAATATTGAAAATTATAGGCCAATTTCCATTTTTGCAATTTCTCCAAGGCCTTGGAGGTGTATGTCTACAACAATCTATTTTATCACCTAAGAAATCAAATTTCTGTGAAACAACATTAGTTCTTCCAAGGAAAACAAGGAAACAAATGGATGTTGTTTACACTGATTTCTCAAAGGCATTTGGCAAGTTGGACCACAGTCTTATGGCTCAAAAACTGTTCTTTATGAGATTCCATTATGCCCTATCACTTTTTTTTATTTATATTTTAAATATCAGTCTCAATTTGGCGAATTTAATTAATGTAAGTCAAATTATTATTATGTCTTAAGAGGAGTCTTAAAAGAGAGTAATCTTGCTCCACTGATATTTGTCATCTTCGTCAATGAAATCACTGTCTGACTGTCTTTTATATGCTGATGACTTAAAAATAATTGGTATATTCGAAAGTAATAATGATTGTATCCAAGTGCAAAAAGATATTAAAACCTTACCAGCCTGGTGTATGAAATATAAATTAGCTAGCAATGTCTTAAGCAATGCGAGATTATGATTGTTTCTAATATTCACAACGAAATAAATTTTGATTATAAATTAGGCAATATCATTATCGAGAAGATTGATTGTGTCGAGAGACCTCGGGGTGACTATTGATAGTAGTGACACGGAAAACATTTGACTTCATATCAGGTCAACAAGAGATTGGTAACTCTTTCACTACGTAATCTTCCAGCTGACCTACTTCAGAAGTCCATTTCCTGTGGTTAGAAGTGTTTTTTTCTGTTTTGATTTTTAGTGGCCAAACTTTGGAATCATATATGACAATACTTTGTATAGTAGTTTGTTACATCCTTCTTTTGTTTTCTTTGGAGATATTTTGGTCCCACAGAATCCCATTCTTAATTTTCGTGGCTTTTCTTTTTTGCATATTTCTGACTTATATTACTTTAATATTGTTCTGAAGCTATTTTCTTGTGGCATTGTAAATTAATTACTATTTATAACTGGGAATAAGCCACAATTAAAGATAAAAATACGTTTATTGACGTTTCAATTTCCAATTCGGAAATCGTTCTCAAAATACAAACAGTAAATTAAACAAATTTTGTTTTTTGTTACATAGTGAAAAAATTCTTCTAATAATTTAATTTTATCTGACTCATTTATATTGACAATTCAGACATACATTATGCATTTTAAAGTAGACGACTTTAAAATGATATTGCCAATATTGTTGAGTTGCGCTCCTGGGACGACTTTACTTATAAGATAGTTCATTCGATTACATGAAATCAACTTTAACTTGAGAATATCCGTCAGAAAAAATCATAGCATGTAATTCGTCTTTAAAAAGACAAACACATGACATGATGACAGTAAAAATTCTCCTGTTAGTGATTAAGTCAGTAACATATAGAGGATACATCATTTATGTTTTTTAAATAACGTAATATATAAAATCAGAATTTTGATGTTTGTTGAAGGTAAACTAAATTCACGAACAAATACTTACAATGTCGGGATAGTATTATGAGGTTTTTTTCCTGGTTTTTCCCTCATAATTTACTATGGAATCACTAACAGGAGAATTTTACTGTCATCATGTCATGTGTTTGTCTTTTTAAAGACGAATTACATGCTATGATTTTTTCTGACGGATATTCTCAAGTTAAAGTTGATTTCATGTAATCGAATGAAATATCTTATAAGTAAAGTCGTCCCAGGAGCGCAACTCAACAATATTGGCAATATCATTTTAAAGTCGTCTACTTTAAAATGCATAATGTATGTCTGAATTGTCAATATAAATGAGTCAGATAAAATTAAATTATTAGAAGAATTTTTTCACTATGTAACAAAAAACAAAATTTGTTTAATTTACTGTTTGTATTTTGAGAACGATTTCCGAATTGGAAATTGAAACGTCAATAAACGTATTTTTATCTTTAATTGTGGCTTATTCCCAGTTATAAATAGTAATTCATATTACTTTATCCAGGGTCCCATCATCTGTCAATTTCATGCCCAAATATTTGTATATTTGGTTATATTCTATAAGTTCTCCATCAGATCTTTTCTTCTTTCTCCTACACAAATATATTCAGTTTTGTTCATATTTACCTCCAGGCCTTTTTTGTATTATTCAACTAGTTTGCGGGCCATATATTCTAGGTCCTCGTGTTTTTGGGTTAATACCAGTTGATCATCTCCAAAGTATAGTGGGTACATATAGTATGTTGTTTTCTGTTAATGGAATTTCCATATTTTTATGCTTTCTATTCCAGAGTTTTAAGGCGTGTTTAAGTATATTTTAAATAGGGTCTCTGAGAGGCAACATCGCTGTTTTAGACCTTTGTTTACCTTAAATGGATTTGACAAACCGTTTGTTGTTTTCACTTTTATAATGGTGTTTCTGCATAACTCTTCCACAGAATTTTTCAAAAGACTAACCTTTATACTTATTTTGGGCAACACTGTCATAGACTTTCTTCAGAATGGCAAATAAATTTAAATGATTGGAATGATACTTTTAATGTTTGATAATAGTGACTTTGATAGTTTTTATAGTGATTAAAATTTACATTATTTTTATTAGTGGAATTAAAAAATCGCAGTATTTTTGGAATGACAGAATAGTTATTATATAATTTATATTATTTCTTCAACTAAAATTCATGATCTAAAATTTTCTGCCACTCAATTTGATCCTAATATGTTAATATGGCAATACTTTGTTCTAGGGTTACCAGAAAACCTGCATCAAACCTTGGATATCCGCACACAATGTCAACTTCTGAAATTCTCGAAAATGTCCTATTGGACAATATTCTTGAAATAGAGGAGAAACTGTTTGGTGGAAGTTTGGGTGAATTACAAGTTAAAAGTAGGGAACAATGGCGACAATGTCTATCCGATAAATTGTATGATGAACTAGATACAACAATCAATCTTCGGGAAGTGAAGGTATATTTTTTTATTATTTTACATATTCGTCAACTTCTGCAAAAGTAGAGGTTGATTATTGTATAATCTCAGCTAAATGTGTTTTTATAATTCGACAAATATTGTAAAATGCAGCCATATTGACTGCAAAAAATGTGCGTAAAGCAATGACTAGGAGAAAATCTTGTATTGTGGCAAGATGTATCTTTCGTCTATTCATTTCTTAGAGTTCCTTACCCGTATTTTATTTTAATTTAATTTCCTTATTAATCACTAAAATTTCAATAATTTATAGTCAAGAAGATCGGATAGAGGCTCGGATAGACCTGCAACTCCAGAAGTACCAATTAAGCCAACTTTAAAAAAATATCATGATCCTGGAAGACACGTGGGCACAGGTCTAGATGTTGAAATGAACGGAGATAGCGATAGTATCCCATATGATTCTGAATATATAAAAAAATCTGTAAAAACTTTAGCTATAGCCCTAGCGCAGGTTGCTCGGGGAGTCGATCCAAAATATTTACAAAAACCTTTAGGTAAGATTGCAAAAAAACTAATACAGTTAATGAATTTTTCCATTTCATCTCAGACTTTTCCTGTGAGATTTACCGTAATTATTACTTATTACTTTTAGGAAGTGCAGGCATTGGTAAATCCGAAAAAAGGGAATTTTGTGACAGATTAGACAAATGGGAGCAATCTCTGTTGCCATCAACTAGTTACAGTCAAGTATTTTTACACTATGCTACCTTAGACTCTTGTATAATGTGGTCCAGATCCGCTTTAAAAGCTAGATGTAAGATATGTAGACGTCTAACAGATTCTGAAAATATGTTACTGTGCGACAATTGTAATTTAGGACATCACTTATACTGTCTGAAACCAAAATTAACCGTAAGTAGCTTTTATTAATTAAAATTACTGTTTATATGTAGTAGGTTGTGATGTTTTCCGACAATAAGTTTTTTAATAATGTGTATACTTCATCTAATTTAGATAACGACTTACGTCATTATCTACGTCAGAGATCGAAGTTGACATAGTTGCCAAAGTATAAAAAAATCCTGATTCCATTTTAAATCAAATAGATTACATAATTATTGCAAAAGCATTACCATCTCTTTACAACGACTATTTAAATTCTTACGTGACATTTTTGAAATAAAACACACTAATTTTGTTCTAAAAAGAACAGATTTTATTAGATAGTTAAAAATATAAAACAAGAGATATTCACTTTAAAATTCAAAATAATGAAGTACAAAAAGTGTCAACACCGCAACTGTCAAATAAGTGTTACCAATTTATGCCAAAATTTTACCTTCGTTCGATTACAGTTACAGTGTGTTCCGAACAGATGTTCTTGATAAAAACGCTTTATAATGCATTTATACAAATTAAATGAAACATATTATTGTGTATTTCTTCAAGTTAACATTAATAGAAATTTTAAAATATGATTTCTACGCGTATATAATAAAATATGTCTAGTGGCTGTAATGTCAGTGTACTCGGTAAAGTGATTCTAAAAAAGAACACACCTACACCCTAAATATTTTGTGTTGGTATCATGTGACGTCACAGGCTATGACGCCGATGACGTACATCGTTATATAAATTAGATGAAGTGTATACTTCATCTAATTTACATACCGTTGCACGTCATCGGCGTCATAGCCCGTGACGTCACATGATACCAACACGAAATATTTAGGCGGTAGGTGTGTTCTTTTTTTAGAATCACATTGCCGAATACACTGGCATTACAGCCACTAGACATATTTTATTATATACGCATAGAAATAATATTTAAAGATTTCTATTACTGTTAACTTAAAGAAATACACAATAATATATTTCATTGAATTTGTATAAATGCATTATAAAGCGTTTTTATGAAGACCATTTGTTCGGAACACACTGTAACTGTAATCAAACGAAGGTGAAATTTTGGCATAGATTGGTAACACTTATTTGACAGTGCATTTTACCAGTTATCACATATGAAGACTACAGGGAAAAAACCAGATATGTCAAAATTTCATAAAACCGAGAAAAATGCATATTTAACTTTCAAGACCGTAATGTGTCTTACATTGAAACATATAATAAAACTCGGGAGTCAAAATTGCTCCATAAAAACACATGAACGATATTGCACTGTTTTTATTCAGATAAATGTATTACACTCTTTAAAAATCCAGGAAATTCTTGTCAACCTCAATTTGTCCATTGAAAGAACCAGCTTAGTCATCTGAAACAGAAAATGGTCAATGCTTTCAATAATGAAAATAGGTTTCATTTTGATTAGTATTTCTATTGTGAATGATAGGTAATAATAAATACAGCAAAACCTGTCAATAACGGTCACTAAAAATGACAGAACTATTGGCCGATATAAAAAGGTGGCCGCTAATGAATTTTAAAACTAGCCGGCTAGTACAAGTGGCCGGTTTTGACAGGTGGCCGTTAAAGATCCCTACCTCTGGTTGGAACACCAGGGCATTCGTCAATATTTTCTGTTGGTGAAAGCATGCTCCGGGCGTCGGTGTTTGGTTTTAATCGCAGAACTAGATCGACGCCGACGTTAAATAAAGAAATAAAAAAAAGAGTAATTATAATAATAATTTACCTGTTACGACTAATTATAAGGTAAGACGGAGAAAAAGTCCACAGCTGCAGGACCACAGAATCTCATAAGGCTCATTAAATCGTTGTGCTTGGCTTTTGAAATTGCAAGGGGTCCTGAAACAACATACAGGGAATAATATTATAATTTCTTGTGATACCTTATACCTTACCTGAGTAGGCTGGTAATGGTAATTCAAATTCTCCATTCTTCAACTCCGTGGTTGCCAAGGTCATTCGTTTCTTCAAGATGCTTGAAAAGAATGGTCCATTGTACGAGGATCGATGATTTATGAGTCGACTGTGCTCTGATGTGGCAACAACCTCTTTCAAAACCTGGGTTTTGAAAGGGCATTTTGGAACATACTTTTTGTCCAAAAATGATTTCCAGTCCAAAACTATGTTTCGTGTTACTTTCACGACGATGAATGGAGACGGCTTTACTCGGGACCCCTTGATCATGTCTCTAAACTCTTTTGGTACTTCAAAAGGCATTTTTAGATTCCACAGTCCAACATTCTTGTCACACTCTAAGTATGAATGTCCACGGATGGGATATGTAATTTTTATTTCACGAAGCCCATGGATTTTGTTGTTTACGATATAATGTATGAATCGGAATATCGTAAAATTTTTGTTTTGTCCTCCAGCTGAGTCACAAAAAATTTTTAACTCCTCAACCTCATCATCCAAAAAGTTATTAATAAAATGTAATAAAAACGATGCCACCTCATTGGAACCTTTTTTGGCAATTCCCTCGTGGTAAGAGTAAAAAATTGATTGACCAGACGACAAGACGTGAACATTAAAAGTGTACATTGATAGCTGGCGCTTATAGTACACGTCATTTGTCGCAATATTTGGGATTGGTACATTCTTTGCAAAATCAATACAAATTGCTTCCATTTTTTTTGTTCCTCTGCTGGTTCTTCTTGCTTCTCTTTTTCGTGAATAGAATGCCTCAGCCTTTTTTTTATGAAGTTGGTTCAATGTGGTTAATTGTTTTATTTTATCTGCGTCCGTCACAGGCTGTAATACCTTCAGCTGTGCCTGGAATTCGTCGCAAATTGCACAAGTATCGGTGCGCGGATACCCGAAAGATATGTTAAACTCCTGTACAAAAATACACCTGTACGTTTCGTACGATACGTGAACATTTGGATGTTTTTCTTGAAATAGAAAATACATTTTTTTTACATTCAGTTCTGCAGGCAGGTAAATTTTTTTCGTTTTTTTAATACTATAATGGCTTTGTCGACCCTTGAAACTTCCGATGTGATCCCGTATCAATTGTTTTGTGGTATCTGGCAATTTCCTGTATCCAGAACTATGCTTTCCTCTACCGTCTATTGGGGCTTCTCCAGTTTCTATAAGGGATTGTTTGATATACGTTAGTTTGTTTTTCGTTATTCCATGTAATGAACAAAATGCCTTTAAACAAACTGGGATGTCTTGTCCGTTAACACGAACGCGATAAGCAAAACTAGCAGTATGAAAACGAGCAGTATTTTCATCTGTGCGTGGTCTCCTTTGTTTTACAGGAAGTACTGTGATTAATCCAGCAAGATACGAATTTTGTTCGTTATGAGAAGAAAGTGCGTTGAATGACTGAAGGATTTTCGTTCTTTGTTCTTCACTTACTATATCGAAGCACTTATATCGTGAACAGTGACAAGATTCCCCAGCCTCATGAGTTGATAACTTCAGTTTTTTACTCACTTCACTTATCCGCCCGGTTTTCTTCCTTTTTTTTGGCAGCAGCGGTGTAACTTCTTCATTTTCTGAGTGAGAACTCGACATAGTTCGTTTTAATGTTAGTCACTACAAACGGTCAAAAGCACAAACACACGGTTCAAATGGTATGGATAACACGACTGAAGGCAGTGATGTGTATTTGTCACTTTGTCAGCGGTAGCCGACTACCCCTCCTGTCCCTTTTACCTTTCCAGATTCGATACGTTGATTGAATATTGCCGCGTGTTAGAGATAAGAAATAATCGTTTAAGAAATGCAAACTTGTTATACGTGCCTGTTTATATTTTTACAAGAAACAAAACGAGTCTTTCTATTATATTAGGTATATCAAATGTCTTGTTGAACATTTAATCATTCAGCAAAATAATTATATTCGACATTCACAAATGTTTGTTTTTAAATAAATCCAACGCTTTCTACCGTGAACCTTGTGACATATCTGGTTCTTTCACTGGACGCATGGACAAAGCTGGTTTTTTCCCAGTACGCCGAAACTTTGAAGTGTAATTACTCATGACAAGACTACTTTTTGCCCTGTACGACAGCTCTAAAATGTGCTTCTCCGCGTGTTCTATACCATAGAATAGAAATCTGAAATTTGAAAAAAATTGACATGTCTGGTTTTTTCCCTGTAGTCTTCATATGACTCACAAACATGGACTTTCACAAAGGAGAACATCGACAGGATATCCAAAACACAAAGAGCAATGGAAAGACAGATGCTGGGTATCGGTCTTAAAGACAGGAAATGAAACTCATGGATCAGAGAAAAAAACAAAGGTGAACGATGTGTTAAGACAGTTAGCAAAACTTAAATGGAACTTCGCCGGTTACACTCTCAGGCAAAAAGATGAAAGATGGAATAAGCGAATTCTACACTGGAGACCATGGGAAAAGAAAAGAAAAATAGGAAGACCACAGATGAGATGGACTGACGATCTTAAGAGAACGGCAGAAAAGGACTGGATGCAGATCGCCCAAAATAGAGATCAATGGAGATTAACAGGGGAGGCCTATGCCCAAGAGTGTGCGTTTAAGGCTGATTAGATAGATAGATAGATTAGATATTTGACAGTTGCGGTGTTGACACTTTTTGTACTTTATTATTTTGAATTTTAAAGTGAATACCTCTTGCTTTATATTTTTACCTATTTAATAAAATCTGTTCTTTTTAGAACAAAATTAGTGCGTTTTATTTCAAAAATGTCTCATAAGAATTTAAATAGTCGTTATAAAGAGATGGTATTACTTTTACAATATTTATGTGACCTATTTGATTTAAAATGGATTCAGGATTTCTTTTATACTTTGGCAACTATGTCAACTTCGATCTCTGACGTAGATAATGACGTGCAACGGTATGTAAATTAGTTGATAGAAGGCCCTTGCAGAAAGAGAATTTAAGGAAATTTAAAAATTAATGAATATTTAAATTTCGCACGTTTCATAATTTTGCGTTTGGCAGTTACCATGATTCAAATGTCGTATTGGGTAGTGCAGTCGTGAGTATGCTCGACTGTCATGTGAGGAACCGGGGTTCGATTCCCCATGGACGACCGCAGATCATTTAAAAACAAAGACCGAACCAAATATCAGCAGATAAACCGACAAATACAAAAAGAGTGTCACAAAGCTAAAGAACAGCGGCTGCTAGACAGGTGTGCAGAAATGGAGGAATTGGAAGAAAAACATGACCACTTTAACATACATAAACTCATTAAAGAAGTGACAGGTCATACAAAACCTTGCAGTTTTAACAGTATTGTGAAGGACAATAAATTAATTACTGATCCCAAAGATCTACTTCAACATTGGAGAAACTACACACAGCAACTATACTCGGACATAACTAGAAGAAACTCTGAAAGTGAATATAAAAGGGAACCCTCCCCCAAAATATTGAAGTCAGAAGTTGTAAGGGCAATCAAACAGAGCAAATGGGGAAAAGCACCAGGCCCAGACGACATATACATAGAGGTTCTAACAATGTTGAGTGAAGACAATTTAGACACCTTGGTAGATCTTTTTAATGACATTTATGGGTCCGGTCAAATACCACAGGACTTAGCTTCAATCAACCTTTATACCAATCCCAAAAAAGCCAAACGCTAATAGTTGCGACCAATTCCGAATGATCAGCTTGAGCCAGGTCCTAAAACTCTTCTTAAAGATAATTCACACAAGAATATACAACAGATGTGAAAGAGACATTAGCCCCACACAGTTCGGTTTCAGACAAGGATTTGGCACAAGAGAAGCACTTTATAGCTTAACTGTCCTACTTCAGAAATGCAGAGATCAGCAAAAAGATGTCTTCCTATGCTTTATAGATTACCATAAAGCATTCGATTGTGTTAATCATTCAGAATTAGTAAGATTGCTCCAGGAACGTTCGATAGAGAAGAATGACCTTAAAATCATAAAAAACCTTTATATGAAGCAAGTGGCATCTGTGAGAGTAGGACTGGAATCTACATCATGTTTTTCAATCGAAAAAGGTGTACGACAGGGTTGTGTTCTGTCACCCCTCCCTTTTAATCTTTACTCTGAAACACTAATAGATAGAATGAATAAACACTGAAGGAGAACGACTGGGCTTGAAGATTAATATAGACAAGACGAAGGTTATGGTGGGTAGTAGAACATGAAATATGCAATTAAATATAAGAGTAAACAACAAGAACATCCAAAAGGTCTCCAAGTTCAGATATCTCGGTAGTTGGATAACTGAAGATCTAGATCCAGACAGGAATACGTAGCAGGATTGAGCAAGCCAGTACAGCATTTACTAATATGAGAACCTGCATGTTAAACTTTTTGTTTCTCTGGCCCCCGTCGGAATTCGATCCCCTAATTATTAAATATTGCATTAATTTATTTTTCATATTTTAGAGTATTCCAAAAGGTGATTGGTTCTGTGATGGATGTAAAAAAGAAAAAGAACAGGAAACAAAACCCTTAGATCCTGAACTTGTCCCTTGGAAAAAGCGTAGAATATTTAGAGATGAGAATATGGAGGAAGAAGAAGATGAAGAATCCAATTATGAAAGTGATATAAAAGAAGAAGAAGAAGAAGCATCAAGTGAAGAAGAATGCAATGGGTAAGTCTCGTACAAATTATACCATAAACCGTCTAGTTCAGACCATGATTCTGTTTTACTGTATATTGTTATACTATAGTAAAATTCAATAAGCGATGCAGGAAAATGTAAACATTAAATCGTGTCCGAACCGGTATGACCCGCCGATAACGTCGCCAGACGAAATAAAGATGGACATTTCGGTTAGTTTTTAAATATTTTTGAAGAACTGTTACTTGCATTTATGCATAAAATATTCATTAATTTTATAAATCGGATTATTTTTTCACTTACTATGTATTCAGTGAAAACATTAATTTATTTACTATGCAATAAACACGAATATTTGAGAAAAGAAAAAAAAATAATAAAGTGTCATAATTATACTGTTACTTATCGGAACGAGTAGACTCATTTGGAACACCTTTAACAATTATCTGTTAAATTTATCGTTGTTTATATGCCCTGCATCGCTTAATGGAATAAGGTATAGTTAATACTGATAAGAATTGCCATTTTTCAGATTCGTTAAATTCGAACTTTGTAAAACTTGTGGCTCCGGAGGAGAATTGATCTCGTGCGAAAAATGTTCGAGTACTTTCCATATAGAATGCTGTGAACCTCCTTTAAGAAGGCCACCTAGAGGTTCGTGGACTTGTCACCTTTGTAAAAGTAGTAAAGACCATTCAAGGGAAAGAAGTAATTCAGGTATGTTCAATCACAAATTAAACCCCTTAGTTTGTAATATAACATTAATCTTAACTTCCTATATACCTGTATATCAATTTTTATCTATTTTAGTGGTAATCGATATTAAAAATGAAATTACTAGATAATATATATATATATATATATATATATATATTATATATATATATATATATATATATATATATATATATATATATATATTAATTGGATCGGCTGCAGCAATAATTTCATATTTTGAATTTTCTTTGTGTAAGCACTCAGTTCAACTTGCAAGTCACAGGGTATTTTTGATGAATTGTAGTTTTATTTGTGACCTTATAAATTGGGGTTGAACTCTTTTTAATGTGTAGTCTAACAGAATATTTACCTCGATAAAAATCATTAAGTCATTGTTTAAAGTTTACGCCGAGTGTACTTATTTTGGAGCTACCAATAAAACATTTACTCCATGACTTCGATAATTATTTCACATCGTCGATCGAGAAGTTTGAACATTTATATTTGACGTAGGTATAACAATGGAAACGAACCTTAGTGCGCTTGTTCTTGTTCCTTACCGCACCATGCCATCTCAACCATGCATGAAATCGACCACAAACGTCAAAATACTGGTCAAATAACAAAATTATCGTAAGGGATTCCTTGTAGAAATGTGCCATATTCTTACATCCATCAGCCCTTTATAAACGAACTGACATCGATAATTTGAGCTATATTTATCACTCATCTTACACAATAAATAATAATCACATCAAACTCCATATCCGAGCTCAACAAATAGCCTAATACTAATATATTCCGCCATTCACAACCTCCCTTCAAACAAATTTATCCACGAACCTCGTATAATTTTGTTTACCAATTCCTTTTCAACAATTCGTTCAGTGAAGGTACGACCACCCACTAAGAAATAGAATAAACAGCAAATCACCTGGAGAAGATGGCATTGTAAGTGAAATGCTAAAATTAGGAGGCGAATGCGTCATAAAAGCTTTAAAAACCCTCGTTTGAAGGAGTTACACCAGAAAAATGGAATAGTGCCATTATGGTAATATTGCACAAAAAGGAGATGTAACAGAAATTGTAAACTACAGACCTATCAGCATTTATATAAGCTCTTTATGAGAATAATTACTAACAGACTGGAACCTAAGCTGGATTTTCACCAACCATTAGAGCAGGCCGGATTTACGAGTGGCTTTGGAACGAATGACCACCTACAAGTAATAAAATCCTTAATAGAGAAAGTTACAGAATACAAAAAGCCATTGATATTAATATTTGTAGACTTTGATAAAGCGTTTGACTCAGTCCAGCATAGCTCCATGTTAAGAGCTCTTACAGAGTGCAGTATTGATCATAGGTACACAACTCTTCTTCAGAATATATATAATAGCGCAACAGTTGCAGTTAGAATGTATTATGGCAACACAAATACATTTCCCTTCGAGAAGGGTATTAGGCAAGGAGATACCATCTCTCCTAAGCTATTCACCGCTTTGTTGCAGAGTGCTATGAGAAACAATAATTGGGAGAATATTGGAGTCAACATAAATCGGAGAATTTCTGAACAACTTGAGATTTGCAGACGACATAGTGCTTATTGCAGACCGAGTAGATCATGCCTGCCAGCTTGTTCAAGACCTTCAGAGCTCGTGTACACGAGTTGGACTTAAAATTAATTTCTCCAAAGCACAATATATGATCAACCTTGTACTGGCGAAAAACATCTCAACTAACGGCACACAAATTGAACAGGTGTTTAGCTTTAAATATTTGGGCCACGAGATTAAATTAATTAGGAAGAGATAATGAAACAACGGAGCTAAACAGGAGAATAGGACTGGCATGGGCGATTTACGGAAAACTGAGAGAAGTCTTTAGATCAGATATTCCCATGTGCTTGAAAAAGAAGGTCTTTGATCAATGTGTACTCCCAGTTCTAACGTATGGAGCAGAAACATTGACCCTTACGAGAAAAGTAATCAATAAAATACAAGTGACACAGAGAGTGTTGGAGAGGTCAATGCTGAATGTATCGCTTAGAGACAGAGTATCAAATACAATAATTAGGAGAAAAACTGGTGTTACTGACGCAGTTCAAAGGATTGCAACGTTGAAATGGAACTGGGCGGAGTATGTTGTCAGATTAAAAGATGGAAGGTGGACAAAGAAAATTCTGGAATGGAGACCTAGACACGATGCTTTTCGTAATCGAGGACTTCCTCCAAGGTCAGCAGATGACATCAAGTACATTCAGCACAATTGGATTCAAGGTGCTCTGAATCCTGCTTTACTATACTACTGTGTAATTCTGTATTTTAAACCTTATATATTACAGAGTCAGTTCATAAGCTTCAATTTTACTCAGTCCTTCTGTAAGACTTAAGCAAGACTTTTTACTTGGTCAGTCATGAAATCCTCCTGCAGAAATTAGAAAAATATAATATTTGTTCCGAGAATATTGATCTAATAAAATCATATCTGAAAATAGGGTGCAGATTGTGATGGTTGGTGGGGTGTTGTCGGCAGAGAGTGTGTTAAATATTGGAATACCACAGGGTTGAATACTGGGCCCTATTTTATTTTTTATTTATAAAAATTGTCTTCCAAACATGGAACATAAGACTAAGCTAGAGGGTTCTGTGGTGGCACAACAGAAGACTGAGCAATGGTTTGCTGCAAATAGGTTCTGAACAACAGTAAAATTAAATAAGGGATTTTCACAATGAGAGATGTTGGTGATATGAATGCTGGATTCGGCGAGATTGGGTTTGTAGTTCTTTTGGACCCAAAATTACGGTGGGGTCCACATAATAATGATAACTTATGCAAAAAAAAAGCCTCTTTAATTTGAGAAACCTTTAAAATGCATCTCACTGGAGACTATATGTACTACTTATCACTCCATATTCCACTCTCATATTTTATACTCTATCCTTGTCTGGGATCATGCAGTTGACACTCACAGAGTATTTGGTCTGCAGAGAAAGGCAGTGAGGGTCCTTGCTGGTTTGGAATTTAGGGAGGCCTGCCGTCAGGCTTATGAAAGATTAAGAATTCTTACTGTACCGGACAGTACATTCTAGAAAACCTTCTATTAATGAAGAGAAATATTAATATTTATAGAATTTACTATTTAAATGGGAATAAGCCACAATTAAAGGTTAAAGTAAGTTTATTGGCGTTTCAATTTCCACTTCGGAAATCGTTCTTCAATGTTTGTATTTGAGAACGATTTCCGAAGTGGAAATTGAAACGTCAATAATCTTACTTTAACCTCTAATTGTGGCTTATTCTTATTTAAATAGTAATTACTTTAAAATGACACAATAAACTAGCTTCAGAACAGTAAGTAAGTTGTTATTCAATTTATACAGTGAAGCCATCTCAGAATTAGCGCTTGCCGAGATCAGTGAGGGCCTTATAATAAACGGTGAGCCACTTAATAACATAAGATATGCTGACGACACCGTCCTTTTGGCAGGAACACTAGAAGAACTGCAACACCTTGCTGAACAACTAAATATATATTGCAACGATTATGGACTAAAAATCAATTTGAAGAAAACAAGTTCATGGTATTTACAAAAGCACAAAACATCAAAGTTAAGCTAGTACTAGATAATACAGAAATTGAACAAATATCTTCGTACAAATACCTTGGAGCATGGATCACAGTAGATACTGATCAGACAAAAGAAATAAGATGCCGCATTGAAATTGCGCGGTCAACTTTTAATAGAATGAGAAAACTTTTTTGTAATCGCGATATCAATATATCGCTCCGGATAAGAATGCTTCGATGTTATATTTTCTCTACCCTCTTGTATGGAGTTGAAGCTTGGGCACTTAAAAAATCCAACATTAAAAACCTAGAAGCATTCGAAATGTGGTGTTACCGACGCATTTTGAAAATATCATGGATGGATCGCAAAACAAACGAACAAGTTCTCGAACAACTAGGAAAACAATGCGAAGTTTTAAATTCCATAAAGATCAGGAAATTGGAATACTTGGGGCACATCATGAGAGGTGAAAAGTACGAACTACTAAGGAACATAATGCAGGGTAAAATCAAAGGTAGAAGAAGCGTAGGAAGACGTAAAATCTCGTGGCTACGCAATCTCCGTGAGTGGTTTGGATGCAGTTCAATTGAACTATTCAGGCGAGTAACCAATAAAATTATAATTGCCAGAATGATTTCCAATCTCCGATAGGAGTGGAACTTGAAGAAGAAGAAGAACAGTAATATTTATAGAAGTCATGAAGATCAGTATGGTTACGATACTAGGCACAAGCAGAATATACCAGCATATTGGCGTTTGAAAGGTGTTAAAATGGACCAGGGTATTGACAATAAAATGTTTTGATGTTCTGTCTGAGAATATCAGAAACTTGTCTGATAAAACATGAATATCTACAATATAATTTTAATTGAGGTTTTGTACATATTTGACGTGTGTCACATTTTATGCTTTTAACATGAATAAACAGTATTGCAGATCATTTCAGTAAAATCAGGGACTTTGGATATCGATGTTTTTTTCTTTTCTTTTTTAACGAACTGACTCTGATTTATTTTCAAGAGATCCATTATCGAAATTGAATATCATGTTTTTTTTAGAATCAAGTGACGAAATTAGTTTGTCCACTAGAAAAAATCGAAAGGAAGATACACGGAATGATCTTCCTTTGCATAACGCGGCGTTACAAGAATTGTTGGTGGAAGTAATAAAACATGCAGATGCTTGGGCTTTTGTAAGGCCAGTACAAAAGACAGAGGTAAAGTAATTTTATAAATCAAATTTAAAGTACATAGTACAGATCTCAATAACTTCTAACGAAATTAATAGCGAGTAGCTGGAATAATTAGGTTGAGTTTACCGAAAGTACAAGCTGAATATAGCCGCAAACGTCAAAAATATTTCGGTTTGGCCGTGTTGACATGTTTTTATAATGCATATGTTGTATGCTTCAAATATAAAGAGATAAAGCTTTTAAAAAAGTACATTTTGATTATACTATTTTATGCATTTCGCAATTTTTAATTTATATGAAACAATAACGGGTAAATATTTGTCTCTTTCGAGATTAATTGCAAACATCTGTTGCATTTTGGCAACTGCTAATTTGACGATTGACAATTCTATACAGTAATCTATCAAAGGGTAATTGCTAAAAAAATTTCTAATAATTAACTGCAATTAATCTCCAAAGAAACAAATATTTACCCATTCTTGTTTTATATAAATCAAAAATTGCAGAATTCATAACATAATATAAACAAAATGTACTTTTCTAAAGCTTTATCTTTTATATTTGAAGCATACAGCATCTATTAGCATTATAAAAACATGCCAACACTGCCACAGAATAATAAACAACCAGAATGCCCACTCTCCATGGAAAATTATGTACGCGCATCTCCTTCGCGCAGACGTTCCGCCATGTTTTAGAGGGAACCAGTGTTGTTTATGTGGGGTGCATAGAAAAATTAACCCGGTTTAATTGACTTACGGCAATCATAGACAGATACTATACAGTTATATTAACATTGTTAAATATAACATAAATATAATATAATTAAACATAAATATAAACAATTACATAACCTCACAAATCATATGTCCGTGTTATGTATTTCCTCCTAAAACATGGCGCGCGTGCTGAAAAACTTCAAAGGCGGCATCTGAGAGTGGGCATTCTGATTGTTTATTATTTTGTGACACTGCTATACCAAAATTTTTTGTTCCATGTTTTACATTTGTGGCTATGATCAGCTTGTACTTGGTAAACTCAACCAATACTTAATTCTAGCGAGTGAAATTAACTAAACATTTCTGACAGCCTAGTAAGTTAGGTAAAATGGCATTCAAAGGTTCTTTAACATGTGTACAAAAAACAACACCGCAAAAATGGCTGATAATGACGTATGCGCAAAAGTCCATGTTAATATTCTTTAATTTTTAAATTTATTTATAATAATGGTGTTATGGATTCATGTTAATGTATTATATTTTATCTCTGTATAGGTAAAAGATTATTACGACATAATAACAAAACCTATGGATTTCGGAACAATCAAATACAAATTAAATATGGGCAAATATTCTAATGATGCTCAGCTCATGGAAGATGCTGTTTTGGTATTTGAAAACTGCAATACGTATAACGAATCTGAATCTGAAGTATACAAGTGAGTATTATGTAGTAATATTTTGTGTAATGTTTATTTTTATTTGATTCACTTAGCACATACTGCTAGCACTACTTAGCACATACTGCTAGCAAACTAGTTAAGAGATTTTGTCTTAGTTGTTTATATACGGAATTATCTTATTCTTAAAAACGGATGGCGTTACAAAAAATTTTTACTAAGCAAACCCGAAATCTTTTTCAGTTTTTTGCCTGTCTTAGAGATGGTGTTACCTTTTTTTGAAATACCCTGTATAACAAAATTGCAAATGCGACGAGATATCAATATTTTTGTTCATATATTCCCTTTTAAATTCGTCGGTTAAGACTCCGTGTAGTGACCGAAAGTAAAACACGGAGAAGCTCAGTTGTCATTAAGTAAAAAATGCAGCCTTAGATGATTTAGCTACTGTGACCTCATTCAAGGAGATGGGTGAAGAGGCCAAGAATTTAAAGTTGCCAAGGCTGTTCTCTCTTCTCTTTGTCAACCATTTTCCATCCACTCCTGAATATAGGTCTCTCCCAATTGCTTCCAACTTTCTCTATCTGCGCCAATGTAATCCACTGTTTGCCTGCCACTGCTCTTATGTCATCTAGCCATCTTTTTTGAGGTCTTTCCATGCTTCTTGTTGTCGTCCTTGGTCTCCATTCTAGAATTCTCCGTGTCCACCTGCTGTCATTATATCGGACTACGTGACCTGCCCAGCGCCATTTCATTTTTGTAATTTCTTCCACAATATCCCTAATCTTCGTTCTACGTCTTATCTCGGTGTTTCTAATCTTGTCTCTCAGTAATATTCCAAGCATGATTCGTTCTATTGCTCTTTGCGTTGTTTCTAATTTTTTAGCATATTTTTGTGGTAAGGGCTACTGTCTTCAAGCTGTATGTACAAATTGGTGGTATGCATGTGTTATACACCTTTTTCTTTAGGTTTACAGGAATGGAAGTGTTTTTTAAAATATATGCTAGTTTGCCAAAAGCGCCCATGCCAGTTGTGTTCTTTTAATTTCAGCATCTTGATTTGATTTTTCTAGTTTATCGATAGGTTGATAGAAATCGAGCTTATGTGTTAGGTGGTTGGTTACGATTTTAGTTAGTAATTTATACAGATGTGATAGCAAGGATATTGGTCGGTAATTCTCGATGTTTGTTTTATATCCTTTCTTGAATAGTAACATGACTTCGGAGTTTTCAGAATCACTGTCACTATCGACATATATTTATGATTATTTGATCCACCACGGTGTAAAAGCTGGCTGTTGTGCCATATAACATTGTTCTATTTTTTTAACATGTTCACATCTCTTTTTCCATTGTTCGATTGAAAACGAATTAAAAAATTCATCACACAAACTTTCCACTAATTTAAAATCAAAACTGACATTTTTTTCAGCGACATATTGCTTCATAGAAGCCCATACTAACTAACTCTATAGGATTCAAATCCGGATGATATATAAAACTGAATGTCCTTTATCCTCGAGTATTTTGTCAATTTCATACGTTTTAAAGCGAGGTTTGTGTAATTTTATAATGTCGTATAGTTCAAATTTCAACATGTCATTTGTAAACGAAATATTTTGAGTTGTCAGACACTGCTGCATTTCTGCTTTTCTGGAAGACATATTTGGACATTTCTCAGTTTGTAGGTTGTGATACGGTGCATTATCAATCAGTAAAACGCTGTTCGGGGGAAAATTTGGTATCAGCTTATTGTGAAGACACTTTTTGTAATTGTCGTAGTTCATTGTATCATGATAATCTTGTAACGGTGAGTCCAAGCCATCACCGTTAAACCAGCGTGCGCGCGAACCAACCCATGAAGTAGGAGTGTATCGACAGTAGAAAGGGCAAAACTTTGCTATATAAACCGCATTATTTCCTCATAGAGGCAGAATCGTCAGGTGTTGACTGAAGGTTCTCTTCTTCCCTACCCCGGCTTGTGGACGTGTTGAGTTCACAAGTTGTTTCGTCCCATACCGCCGTACCCGAACCGGAGAGCGTGTTGAGCTCTCCATTACCCGTACTCCGAAGCAGTCGTGTTGAGACTGTCGAGGAGTGTCCTATTAACCCGAATCACTTAAGGGACGTGTTGAGTTCCTTTCTTTTCTTTGTACCTATCGTCCGCTGTTATTAAATCGACACATCGTTCACATAAAATTCCGAAAACACACTCGATCGCCGATAAGACTAACTTCATACGACAAGGTCAAACTTAATTTGAATAAATAGGCCAGGTACTGAGAAGACTAAACTAAATTGTAAATATGTACATAAGATTTTTGTCAATTTAATTTAAGGAAGACAATAAAGTTTTATTTTTATTTTGAACTCTGTCTCTGACTGTCCAAAAGCTACCCGGATAGTGACTCCTACGAGAGGACGTCACAATCTCCTATTTTATAATATGTTTGTATCGCAGATAAGCGTTTTTAACAAAACCACTTTCACCTCCAGCATGCACTATCACAAGCATCTAATTTCTAATTACTGTTCGTAGACTTTCTATGGTACCTGAGTAGTTGTACTCCTCTGCAAATGTTCTGTGTATACGTTTCACAGGTGGCACTTGTTTTTGTGTTATACAAAAATCTATTATATAACGTCGAAGACGCCCTATATCAAAATCGTCCAAGCACGTTTTTGAAGCGATTTTTTTCCTATTTTTGTTTGGAAGTTATCAATGAGGAAGATTCGCCATCTTCAATTAATTGCATTTCCGAGCAATTTTTTGAACGCTGCTTAAACTAACACCTGTTGCCAATACCACACGCTCCTGACATTTTTTTCAAATCTACACGTTTTATTGTCTTTGGCTTCCTTTCTCATAAAATGAATCACATTTGCTATCACTTCCTGTGTCTGATTATTTAAAACTTTTCCGTTCAGATTCGATTTAAACTCCATGTTTAACATAGGTACACAACACAGATTAGCAAATTTGGAAATGACTCTCCTTTGCGGTTCGTACTTAAAAAAATGTTTCGCAGACTGTACCGACTTGTTCACGTCACAAACGGTAGATATTAAGTGGACGCTCAGTGCGAGATCCGTCGGATGACGAATGCGCATCATGGGCGTGGTTATTTTTACACTTTCAGCTATTTTTGGTGAACTGTAAGAATACACTCTGAAACTCCGTGGAAGTTGATCGGCTAGAAAACAGCCCTGGTCTGGACTATACGGTTTGGACAGGTTGACGGTATTCTTTTGTAAAAATGACGTTTGTAAATAAAAAAATTAATAAACATTTGATTTATTTAAAATGATAAATGTGCTTGCGTGAACAATTCCTGCAATAAAGTATATACTTTATCAAAATACATATTTTTATTCACTTTATATTTGATTGTAATCATTAAATTTTTCTTTTTAAAAACTCAATCTATCAAATTAATGTTTATTTTTAGATGTGGAGTGCGATTACTTAAATTCTTCAAAAAGAAAGCTAAAGAATTAGGTCTCAAACTACCCAAGGATATGACCAATGGCTATACAATACCAGCAAAAAAGAGGCGGACAAATTAGCTGTAGTATTCGGACTTTTTAATTTATTTTTACATATAGCAGTGTAACAATTGAAGTACCCCACTAGCCCATTTTATCTTATTTAATATTTTTTTATTATGAAAATTATAGTTTCTAGATTTATTGTTAATTAGGATATCATTATTTATAATAAAACATAAAGAATTTAGTAGACTTTTATTCTGACACCCATAACCCACAGCATCAAAGTTGTGTAACAAAAGACCGCCACGCGTGTTCCAACGAAGCCAGGATACTTGGAAAAAAACATAAAGTGGCATATACAAAATATTGGCTTTATGAACTGAAACCTATTTCTTCTTTATGTGCCTTATCCTTTAGGGATATTGCCGATCATGGCGGCTCATTTTACTCTGTATCCGCAGTTCTGAAGAATTGTATTGATGTTTTTTCACTCTACTGATTAAAATTTTTCAACCAGAACATGCGTCGTCTCCCCAGTCCTCTTTTTTTCTTCCACTTTCCCTTAATCACCAATCGTATCAACTCAGATTTTTCATTTCTTAGTATGTGACCAAAGTAGCTCATTTTATGTCATACATAATGTTTGTTTCTGATGTTTATTTTTTCGTCTTTCTTAATTTTTACGTATTTCTTGCGTGTTTTGTCCATAAAATTTTCCACATTTTCAACAACACCACATCTCAAAGCTGGTAAGTCTTTTCAGTGTCGTCCGTAATTGTTCAGTTTTCTGTTGAATAATACTGCTTTCATCTTATTGAAAGCGCTTTGACCATCTCAATGTGTCGTTTTATTTCAAGGTTGCGGTCCCATTGTTCGTTTAGTTTACATCCCAAGTAATTATCTTAACCCTTCAGGGCGCAAAATTATTTTTTTGCTAAACTGAGTTACACTAGTAGTAAAACAATTTTTTTGTATTTTTTAGTTGGTTGATTTTTCTGTAAAAATGTGCTAAACCATTGTACCAGGGAACATTAAAGGAAAAGAATAATGAAAGTTCTATTGTATACATGGTATACCTAAACCATTCAATATTATTTATTATAAAATACATTAAAAATACAAACAATATCAAATCAAAACATCTAATTAAACAATATATATTTAAAATTTCTTAAGTGTTATGGTAACGCCCAAAACTCTCCACACAAATATACATCACAGACATGGCATTTATAATTACTACGCTTCTGGATTCCCCGTTTGGAACATTCTTGACACCTTTTGGTTGTTTTAACTGGAACGTGCGTAATGTTCCCAAAATCATTTCTGTTTATAGTTGTAGGTCCTGGCCGTTTTCTGGCCTTATAATTTCCTATGAGCAGATCCGCTAATGTGCTCCTAAAGTCCAAGTGGCTACAAGGCTTTTTTCGTTAATTCGTTTTTTTAGATCCTCTATAAAGTATATAGGCATTCACAATACATGCATCTATAAAGTAATATAGAAGTTTCACCCACCATCTACTTTTACAACAAATGGAATATGCTGCTATTCTTTGATCAAGCGATCAACAGCGCCCATATATTTGTTGTTAATGGAGATTCCGATTTAGAAGTATCTGATACAACTAATAATAGATCAACTTTATGTACACCTACATCCTCAGATACTTTTACACCACAGCTACCTCGAAAACGAAAGATTAACTTGAATTTATCAAAGGATAATATAGAAGGTGACTTGGATTCCGATGATTCAGTGGACGATCCTAATTTACTATAGATCCGAAAAATACTACTGAACCATTTTCTTCTTTTGCTAAGACTGTCGTTCCCCCTAAGAGGTTCAATGAATTTAATTTTATTGCCGATGTAGGAATACAGATTGAGGTTGAGTCCGAGGAGCCAATTAGATTTTTTGAAAAACTTTTAACACCTGAGTTTATGAACTTTTTTGTTCAACAATCAAATCTATATGTCGAACAAAATGGGAAACAATTAGATAATATATTACCAACCCTGCACAAATATGGGTTACGTAATTCTAATTTTCACAATAACAGAATAGCAGAAATATTTCCTCCTCTCAAAAGATTTTTAAAATATTCAGGCTTTTGCACCTAAATGACAATCACAACATGCCGCCTCGTGGATCCACAGCTTATGATAAAGTGTACAAAGTACGTCCACTCTGGGCACTGCTGAACACTGCTCTAGTACATTTTGTCGATCGTTTAAACCAAGCCGAAATGTTGCAGTAGACGAAAGCATGGTTGCTTTTAAAGGAGGCACCAGTCTAAAACAATATGCCCATGAAGCCGATAAAGAGAGGAATAAAGATTTGGGCTTTGGCTTGTTCAGAAACGGGCTATTTATTTGGATTTATAATATACCAAGGTAAAGAAGAAACGACGACAAATGATACTTTAGGAGAACGTGTTGTTTTAAATTTAGTTAAAGATTTCTTTCGTCAGGGATATTGTATTTATTTCGACAATTTCTATACCACTATACACCTTATGGAAAAATTAAAAAAGATCTCTTTTTGGTTGTGGAACAATCAGACAATCTAGAAAATATTACCAAAAGAGAAATTGAAAGAAGACAAAAAGCTGGCGATGGGGCAAATAGACTTTGCAGTGTTTGATGAGATATCTATCACCAAATGGAAAGATAGAGGGGTAAAAGCAGTTACTGTGTAGTAATATGCACAATGCTGCTGAAACTGGCCACGTTCTTCGCACGAATGAAAAAAGGAGAGAGAGAGAGAGAAGTTGTTGAGTGTACATCTTCTATAGTTGATTACAACAAATATATGGGCGCTGTTGATCGCTTGATCAAAGAATAGCAGCATATTCCATTTGTTGGAAAAGTAGATGGTGGGTGAAACTTCTATATTACTTTATAGATGCATGTATTGTGAATGCCTATATACTTTATAGAGGATCTAAAAAAAACGAATAAACGAAAAAAGCCTTGTAGCCACCTGGACTTTAGGAGCACATTAGCGGATCTGCTCATAGGAAATTATAAGGCCAGAAAACGGCCAGGACCTACAACTATAAACAGAAATGATTTTGGGAACATTACGCACGTTCCAGTTAAAACAACCAAAAGGTGTCAAGAATGTTCCAAACGGGGAATCCAGAAGCGTAGTAATTATAAATGCCATGTCTGTGATGTATATTTGTATGGAGAGTTTTGGGCGTTACCATAACACTTAAGAAACTTAAAATATATATTGTTTAATTAGATTTTTTGATTTGATATTGTTTGTATTTTTAATGTATTTTATAATAAATAATATTGATTGGTTTCGGTATACCATAGAACTCTCATGATTATTTTCCTTTAATGCTCCCTGGTACAATGGTTTAGCACATTTTTACAGAAAAATCAACCATCTAAAAAATACAAAAAAAATTGTTTTACTACTAGTGTAGCTCTGTGTAACTCAGTTTAGCGAAAAAATAATTTTGCGCCTTGAAGGGTTAAGATAATTACTTGGAATGTAAACTAAACGAACAATGGGACCGCAGCCTAGAAATAAAACGACACATTGAGATGGTCAAAGCGCTTTCAATAAGATGAACGCAGTATTATTCAACAGAAAACTGAACAATTACGGACGACACTGAAAAGACTTACCAGCTTTGAGATGTGTTGTTGAAAATGTGGAAAATTTTATGGACACAACACGCAAGAAATACATAAAAATTAAGAAAGACGAAAAAATAAACATCAGATAACAGAAACAAATACTATGTATGACATAAAATGAGCTACTTTGGTCACATACTAAGAAATGAAAAATCTGAGTTGTGAAAAAACATCAATACAATTCTTCAGAACTGCGGATACAGAGTAAAATGAGCCGCCATGATCGGCAATATCCTTATAGGATAAAGCACATAAAGAAGAAATAGGTTTCAGTTCATGCGACTTTATGTTTTTTTCCAAGTATCCTGGCTTCGTTGGAACACGCGTGGCGGTCTTCTGTTACACAACTTAACACGGTCTTAAGAAGATTTTTAATTTACTCGGCTGAATAATTTATGAATGGGCGCGTTCAGCAGACGGAGCAGCTACCGCTCCGCTACTTCCGAATCCATCGTAAAGCGCTGGACCAAACGTCATAAGTCAAAACCTGCTGGATTCCGCTACCGCTACCTTATCTGTCAATGTCAAATAATTTGTCATTTTAAAATTAAATATTTTGATTATGTTTTAGATTGCCAATTTAGCTTGACTTTTAAATATTATTAAACTTTACGTCACATTACTAGCGGACAAGGAAAATAATATCCAGCTAATTGAAAATGTTGTGGATCAGTTGGCACAAACTGAAGAATTAGAGCTGAATAATGCTGAGAGAGCTCAAGTTCCTCCTAATCAAAATTTTTATGAGGAAACCATTCCCCAATATATGGGAGATCTTTTTAATAGGCGATAAAGCATTTTCGCATGAGTAGGGAATGTGCTGAAGTAGGTTTTAGTAAAGATTATTAGTTCTTTGAAAACTACATATAAATGTTTTAGGTAATTACCCAGCAACTAGGAAATTTAGGAGTTATACCCATTGGAGCTACAATTCCTTTAGATAAAAAAAGTGCTGTTCACCACCTGGGTTTTAGCTAAACCAGGATCGTTTGTAGCCTGTGGCGGCAGGTTCAATATAGCCAAGAGTACAGCCCATAGTGTATTTTTAAAGAAATTGTGTCAGCAATCTTATTATTAATGCCTCAATATATAATGTGGCCAGATAACCATAATGAAGCAATAATGGTAATAATAGACTTTGATCCACAGACTTTCTGAAAACTGAAGATGAAACGCAAAGAATGGGCAAACTTACCTCAAGAACAAGTTGATGCTTTGATTAGAAGCATTCCCCGTCAGATTGAAGCTTGTATTAGAGCTAGAGGTGGTAACACTGACTATTAAAATGAACAACAAGACTGTATCTTTTTTTAGTCAACCATTGCAATGTTTTCATTTGTTCATGTTTTTGTTAATTTAATGTATTTGTAACATTTTTTTGATTTTTTTTATAGTAATTTAGCTGGTTTAGTATAAAATGTAGTTCATTTTTCATTAAAAAAATTTAGTAATACTTTACAAAATCGGAAATACTGGGTGATTCCATGTGTATATTATTGATTTTTATTAATTATTATTGATGTGTGTATATTATTAAACTATATCCCATACATTTCTTGACAACTTTTCTCCATCTTCCTTAGAGATGATAATTTAATTTACTATTTTTGCCCAGGTCTATGTACATTTAAAACTTGTTTGCATCTGTAGGTAATATAAATAATAATAAAAAATAAATAAAATTTGGTTTATATGTGCAGCTTGTTGGGACTCAATAAAGAGTACTTTTTTCATGCATAAGAGTATATTTTCATGCATAAATACTATATGTAAAATTAATGAAGTTAATATAATTAAGATATTGTTAATTGTGTGTGTGACAGTATGCAGAGAGTTTTGTTTTCAAAACTATGTTCATTAGCCACAAATCATATCAATAGCATATTAACTTTTAATTTAATGTATTGTATTATATGTACCTACTTTTTACCTAAAGGTTGCAATATTTAATGAGTTGTCAAAATTTAGATAGCCTCATAAGCCTTAGTTTCCTATTATTCACTATCATTATGTGCCATGCAACAGCACGGAGTATGAAGGAGAGTAGTTCTTCTGTGATGTGGGTATTGAGATATATCTCCCTTTTTATGTATGGTGCAAGTATTCCAATCGCTGGGGAGGGACTGCTGTATTCATATTTCTTTTCTAGGCTGCTGTGATGCCACTGCCAGTGATATTCGAACTACCTTCTTTATATAGATCTGCTGGAAAATTAGTTACTCTTGGCCCAATTACTACCTTATAAATATTTTTACTTGTTAATTGAAAAATATGACAGACCCATATTTTATATTTGATGCCATTCAATCTAGTGTTATAAAACATAAAAGAGAGTGGTAGTTTTAGGTAGTTAGACTCAGTATTATAGAGTTATTAGGATGTAAATGTAAGTAATAGAATTAAAACAGTATTAACGAAATGAGCGGAGTTCAGTGTGATGGAAAAATACTAATAAAGCTAATAGGTAAACTCAACAGGACCTATTTATTATTAAATATATTGTTAAATGTAAAGTGTGGATACAAGGAGAAGTCTCAGAGTCATTTAAAACTAACCGAGGTCTGCTTTGGGAGATGCACTATCATGCTTGGTATTGAATCTACTGTTAAATGCTGCAGAAAATCTTGGAAGGAGGCGACTGAAGTGTTGTGATAAGGATAAGAAGGTACCAGTAAAACTAAAGGACAGGCTCTATAATACTGTCTTGAGACCAGTGATTATATATGGTACTGAATGTTGTACAGTAAATAGGAATAAACAGAAATTACATGGCTGAAATGAGCATGCTTCATTGGGTGAGTGGAGTAACTAAAAAAGATGAGGTGAGGAATGAGTATTTAAGAGTAAGTTTGGGTGTGGCTTTTATTAATAAAATGAGGGAACATCTATTAAAGAGGCAAAAAGGCAAATAGAATGATGATACTTGTAAATATTTTGGTTCATTAATATTTATGTTATATTTACAAACTTTTCTTACTTAGCTTATAAACACACTTTCCTCTGTAAAATCATTAATTTTAATAAAACAAAAGCTACTAAAAATATATCATTTTATTTACATTATACAAGTTTTATTTACAGTGCTATAAATGCAGTTAATACAATAAACTGATTTGGAAAAAGAATATATGAATAGTACAATAACAAAAAAAACAACATATATTCACAAATTTTTTTTTACTGAATACACTGAAGTGTACTTACATTAAAATCTGGTCAGTAAGACCAATTATCAATTTGTTTCTAACTTAAATTACTAATGAAAACTTAAAATTAGGTGTCTACTCACTAGTATCTTTCCTATTATTTCTAATAACTAGAATTAAATTTAGCATGCATACTCGCACAACACTTTGCTCTGCTTTTCACTCACTCACTATACCAGTTCAAAAGGCTTTGTTCTTTTGAGCCTTCTCTCTAGGTTCGTATTATCGAGGAACTGGATAGCCTCGACGTTTACATGATGGAGACGTTGTTCATGGCTCCCTGCAAATTTCTTGATTATCTGATTGACGTCTTCCATCTTGAGGTCCCTGTAAAGATTGTTGTTCCTAACGTACCAAAACATTTATACAGTGGAGTATAACAAACTTAATCAAAAACCCAACATACAAACTTATACCTCTGTTAAACCGGTAGAACCTTCAACAAATGTATACCAGAACACAAAAGAGCTTTCAACAACAAAAAACACGAGTCTACATGCACACTTCACCTTTTATATCATAACAACATACAACTTATTTAGACAATACAAATGTCGCCAATTTCCAAAAAATGTAAAATAAAAACAAAACAAACACCTAACCCTCAATTTTAGTACCGAAATGTCAAGAATGACATTTCTCTCAACATGTTGGATGGATGTAGCCAATGACGTATAATATATAGACTCGGTGAACGCTTTAAAAAGTGTCCAAAACATGAATACCTTTGTTATTGTTTATTGTTTTGATACGAAGATGCACGAAGTTCATGATTTCTTACGAAGCATCACGAAGTTGATCTTGTGTTTGAAAACATCATGGACGTATGAAAACATTTTCTCCATTTTGTGTGACAAGCAAATTTTATTTTAAATTGTTGAGAGTTATTTACTTACTATTTTAGTAAAATGCCATACTATTTTATCAAAATAATTATTTCTCTTATAAACGGGAACAAAAAGAAATCATAAATATTTAATTTTAATTAAAAAAATAATTATTGTCATTAACATATAAATGAGCACGCCGCTGTTGTGATAAACATACCTTCAACCTTGAGCCGAGATCTTTCGGACACTTGATTCTATAGCGAGAATAGGGGACTGCGTAGTCTATATATTATACGTCATTGGATGTAGCGATACTTTTTTACGCTACCAAATTTGACAGACCGCTCCGGAAGTAGCGCCGCGGTAGCGGTTGCATTTTGCAGACTTTTACTCAACAGTTGTGGAGCAGGAGCAGCTCCGTCTGCTGAACGCGCCCATCACAATACATACTACTATGGCGCCCATTGACTGGACAACGCTGAAAGGCAGAGCTCAATAGTCAATAGAATAGAAGAATAGAATATATTTTGAGGTTAAGATACAAGTGTCATTGTTTTCATTAATTTTTATTTATAGATTTAAAAAACTTAAATAAATAATGAAAGGTTTAATAATTTTATAAATGGAAACTATTTAATCAATAATGGAGGTTGACGAGGAAATGCAAGAAATCGGACATACTTCTAAAAAAATAGAAAATATTTCAAAAAAGGTTTGATATAACTTTTAGAAAAAATCACGTTTTTTATTTAAGTTTATTTTAGGAAGGCATACGGGAAGGTATTTCTGCAGGTAGAGACAGTAATTTCCAAGAAAGCTTTGATAAAGGCTTCGAAGAAGGATTTAAAAATGGATTTCTTTTAGGACAATACAGAGGGATTGTAATGTAATTATTATTTCACTGAAGTCCTTCATGTCCCAGTTAAATACACCATTTATGTTTTAAAGTAACATACACAAAAATAGAGTAATATTGAGAGTAAAATAACTGTGACCAAATATTTCTTAGGATAGTATCATTAGTTTTTTCCTCATGATTTATTACTATTTAACTGGGAATAAGCCACAAGTAAAGGTTAAAGTAAGTTATACGTTTAATTTCACTGAATCGTTAATAAAACATAGTAAATTAAAAATTTTGTTTTTTTTTTGTTAGTGAAAAATTCTTCTAATTTGACTCATTTATATTGACAATTCAGACATGCATTATGCATTTTAATGTAGACGACTTTAAAATGATATTGCCAATATTGTTGAGTTGCGCTCCTGGGACGACTTGTACTTATAAGATAGTTCATTCAATTACATGAAATCAACTTTAACTTGAGAATATCTGTCAGAAAAAATCATAGCATGTAATTTGTCTTTAAAAAGAAAACACATGCCATGACCAAATACTTACCATTTCCGGATAGTATTATGAGGTTTTTTTCCTGGTTTTTCCCTCATAATTTACTATGGAATCACTAACAGGAGAATTTTACTGTCATCATGGCATGTGTTTTTCCTTTTAAAGACGAATTACATGCTATGTAATTTGATTTCATGTAATCAAATGAACTATCTTATAAGTACAAGTCATCCCAGGAGCGCAACTCAATAATATTGCCAATATCATTTTAAAGTTGTCTACTTTAAAATGCATAATGTATGTCTGAATTGTCAATATAAATGAGTCAGATAAAATTAAATTATTAGAAGAATTTTTTACTAAGTAACAAAAAAAAAATTGTTTAATTTACTAATGTTTGTATTTTGAGAATGATTTCTGAAGTGGAAATTGAAACGTCAATAAACATACTTTAACCTTTAATTGTGGCTTATTCCCAGTTAAATAGTAATTAATTTAAAATGCCACAAGAAAAAAGCTTCATAACAGTATCATGATTTATAGTTGACACATAATTTCGTGAGAAAATTTATAGGAGCAAGTGCGAGTAAAATACTAGCAAGATGGCAGCAATATTGAGTGACCACTACTTTATTGAACAGTAGCATAGATATCTAATTTTAAATTAAATAAAAGTTTTTACTTTTAATTAATTTTATTTACCATTAAGTTTCATTTTCTATAAAGATTAAATAAAAAAATATCGATTTAAAAGAACTTCTGCAATATATCTAGGGAGTGATAACACTAATTGACTCGACTGAACAGAACTTATTGTAAAATAATAATAATACCTATAAAAATTGTTAATAAAAGTAATTATGATATACAATTAAACAAATTTTTTATGTCCAAGTATTTTAGTATACACAACTGCTCATAAGTTTTAAAACTTATAGGCACATTTAATCCCTGGTATCTTGGTTATTGTAATCATGAAAAATAGAGAAATTATTTTTTAAATTATATACAGGGTATTTTATTAACAACTTTGGTTTGACACCGTGTGAGAGAAGACTTAGTACCCCAATAATTTAAAAATGGGTAAGAGGTCTAAAACTTTTATGAACATTTCACATTTTTGTTCTATCATGACGTGTGTTTGTACCCTATTTTCAAAGATATAAATGCCTATAAGCAAAACGATAATATCTACAATGACAATAAAAATAAAGGCTTCAAACTAACACCTAGTTTGAAGTAAATACTTACTAATCTACTCAGAATCACTAGTATTACTCGTATCTTCTAAATTTATAGTTAATTTGGTTAATCCTGATAAATATTTAACATAGTCATTTTCCACTATGATTACATGTTTGATTACATTTTTCCAGTTGGTTGCTGTGATCTTTGGGACTTCTCTTCTAATTAATTGGAAAACAGTAGACGAAAATTTAGGAGCCACGTTTCTTTTTCTTATATTTCCTTCAAGTTGAGTCCATATTAACTCTATTGGGTTCAATGTACAATAGTAAGGAGGAAGTCTAAGCAGGTATGCCCATTACTGCAAGTACAGTTATCAACAACATATTCCTTCTGGTACTGTCTACTATAAACAACCTCCAACAATTGCTTTTTACTATATCATGCCTCAAAGTACAAATCTTTCTCAAATAAAAATTCTTGAATTTGTAATTTGTTTCAAGTAATATTTGGAATTTTCTCATTAAGCTTGAATGATATGATACATTGTTCATGACAATCACACTTCTTTTCTTCAAGTTCCACTCCTATCGGAGATTGGAAATCATTCTGGCAATTATAATTTTGTTGGTTACGCGCCTCAATAGTTCAATTGAACTCCATCTAAACCATTCACGGAGATTGCGTAGCCACGAGATTTTACGTCTTCCTACGCTTCTTCTGCCTTTGATTTTACCCTGCATTATATTCCTTAGTAGTTCGTATTTTTCACCTCTCATGATGTGCCCCAAGTATTCCAATTTCCGATTTTTATGGAATTTAAAACTTAACATTGTTTTCCTAGTTGTTCAAGAACTTGTTCGTTTGTTTTGCGATCCATCCATGATATTTTCAAAATATGTCGGTAACATCACATTTCGAATGCTTCTAGGTTTTTAATGTTGGATTTTTTAAGTGTCCAAGCTTCAACCCCATACAAAAGGGTAGAGAAAATATAACATCGAAGCATTCTTATCCGGAGCGATATATTGATATCGCGATTACAAAAAAGTTTTCTCATTCTATTAAAAGTTGACCATGCAATTTCAATGCGGCATCTTATTTCTTTTGTCTGATCAGTATCTTCTGTGATCCATGCTCCAAGGTATTTGTACAAAGATATTTGTACTATTTCTGTATTATCTAGTACTAGCTTAACTTTGATGTTTTGTGCTTTTGTAAATACCATGAACTTGGTTTTCTTCAAATTTATTTTGAGTCCATCACACTATATTTAGGTAATTTCGGAAGAAGAGATTCTTCAAACCATAATTCAAAAATTAAACTTTCCATATCCTCATGATAATCTAGAGACGCGTCTTTAATTTTTTTTGCAGATATTAATAATACATCATTGATCCATCATTTTCTCCACCACAGTGAAAATTATAATTCTGTCCTTTATTGGGCGGTACTGAATTAGAACACTTTTTGTTATTATTCGTCCAACTTTTTTTTACGGTGTCATGAGTACCATATCAGGTCTCATCCAAATAAACAATATTTAGTTTAAAATAAAATATTAGATATACCTACTAGTGATGTAACGAATGTCATTTTTTAAACATTCGCGAATGCGAATGCGAATATATGCCACCGACATTCGCGAATGCGAATGCGAATATTCAGTTTTTTTTTAATTTGGCAATTTTAATTGTCTCCGGCACTGCCGGCAGTCTCATTTGCGCGAGGTGTGTAGGCAATTGGAAAAAGTCTGTCATTTTTAACTGCTTTAAATTGTCCAGTATCATTCTATCATATTTGCTAAAGTAAAGATGTGAAACAGTTGTATTTATTGTAAAGAAGTTTATTGTAGGCGGTTAAGTTTATTGAGGGGTCGTTTAAAAAGGTATGTATTTATTTATAGTCACGTCCGGGCCAAAAACGTAGAAAGCACGTTTTTCGATCTTATTTTCTCTTGTTATAATCAAATTTGACTTGTTATAGAGAGAAAGTTATAGCAGAGAACTAAGTTCTCTGGTTATAGTTCCAATAAAAATTTCACGGGACACAAGTCACTCCACTTGCCCTGCTCTGCTCGTGCACAAATACAAGTGAATTTTTAGTTAAAGTGTGATTAGCGATTTATTACTATGAGTAAATCAAATTATAGTGAAATATGGACTTATTTTTCACCACTTTTCGATACTGAACGAGCTAAATGCAAGCTGTGTAATATTCGCAAAACATTCGCACAAATTTTGCGAATGCGAATGCAAATGCGAATATGCAAAAATATGCGAATATTCGCGAATGCGAATGCGAATGCGAATATTCGTTACATCACTAATACCTACCTACCCAAGTGTAAACCACTGGACGGCCGAAACGAAATTTTTTCGGATAAACTACTTTATGGTTTTGGTGGCTCAGGCAAATATTGTTATCTTACCCAAAGAATGCATAAGTTTGCCAATACAAGATAACGCATTGTGATTTGTCATAATAGCGATATCCGATGTTTTCATTGGCTCTTGGTCCACGTGGACTGATCAACAATTCGATGATAGAGGAAAGGCACCAAATTTGAGACACTTTTTTTGAAAAACAAATATAAAACAGAATATTTAAAATTTTTAAAACATTCATTTCGAAAACTTAAACTTAATGTTTCTAGAACACAACAAAACAAAAAAAAAGCGAATAAAACATATATTTTTGCAAAAAAATACATTTAATTTTTTTGCGACATTTAATATTAAAAATAAAAGGTGCCCTAATTTGGGATAGTCAGGTATCTAAACTTGAGACAGGTACCTTAATTTGAGATACTATTCAAAAAAGCCCTTTCCTTCGCAGAAAAGGCAAATAAATGTGCTGGACTTTATTTCTCCACAGTCTTCATGTGCCCACCTGCCACATTGGTAACACTTTGCCCATCGTTCGCCATATCTATCGTCGGAAAATTTGCCGGTGCAAAATAAACATTCCGCGTCGTTTTCTTCACTTTCGTTGGACGATGAATCAGCTAATGGAAAGTTTTCACTGCTATCTGAGCTTGAACTCGAAGAAACTTTCCGCTTCCTTCTTGATGTTTTGCCTTTTGATGTAGAAGGTTGATCTACGTCTTCATCTGCTATTTCTTCTTCGGGCATTGCTGTTTTTTTTGATCTAACACCTTTTGTTGAACTGTTTTTTTCTGGAGCAAATACACAATCCAAGTTTAGCTGGGGTACTAGTTTTTTTGCTTTTTTCTTCTGCAAACTTTGCTCTAATTCTTCTTTGTAGGGTGTTAAAGTAATTATTGAAGCCTTTCCTGATCTGGCATGTGGTTTTTTAGTTGTATCTTTCTCGTAGAATCTAGGAATTGGACAGATGTCTTTCGGAGAAACAAGTTGTTGATGAGGTAGTGGTGGACTAGGAGTTCTATGTTCTTGTATTGGATGATTTGCTTGTTCATGGTTTATTTCTATTATTTGTTCATCCTTTTCGTTTTGTGTTTCTAAGTGCTCTTGAATTCCAAATTCAAAGTCCCTAAAAATATGGCGACAAATAGGGACCAGTCCAGTTTTGCGGAAACCATTGCAAGATATTTCCATCGTCGCAGCTTTGTTATACGCTTTACAAAAAATACTGGCAACGGCGTAAGGCGACACAACACTCAACTGATTTTCTCTAAGCCAGTTTTCTATTGCTTGTGCATAGTAAGTTTTCAGCGGTGCCATAAAAGCAACATCCAACGGTTGCATTTTATGTGTAGAATGTGGTGGGAGGCAAATAATCGTCACATGATTCTGTTTGGCCAAATCTATTAGAGCAACGTTTCTCGTATGAGAATAGTGACCATCAAGGACGAGAAGAACAGGGTCTGCAGCTGAAGGTTTAGTGAATTTTATGAAGTGTTGAAGCCATCTAGTGAAAATATCGGCCTGTACCCAACCTGACACATGGCATTCTGCGATTGCTCCAATGGGAGCTCCTAGCATCAACTCTGATTTCATATTTTTTCTGGGGAAGATTAATAATGGTGGTACGAAAACTCCTGCAGCATTCATACATGTAATAGCAGTAATCAGCTTGCCCCTTTCTGCTGAAGTAAGTGACGAAACCTGCTTCTTCCCTCTCATGGAAATTACTTTACTATGTTTGTGCTGAACAATTGTAAGGCCCGTTTCGTCTACATTGAATATACGTTGTGCAGGGTTAGTAAGCTTAAGATATTCTGGTTCATACAGGTCAAAGAACTTGGATACATTTTCAGGAGTAAAAGATTTTACTCGTGCACATGACATTCCCTGAGGAGTACGCATTGAAAGCGCCGGATGTCTTTTCAGAAAGAGCCTTAACCATTTCTTTCCGGCTGTTTTTTTGACTCCGCTAAATGGATGTGCTATTGAGTTTCGTATTGCAAGTTGAAATGCCAGTCGTTTTATATCACGCGCTCTTAGTCCGAAATAACGTTGCTCCATAATTAGGGCATACTCAACCAACTCATTTTCTAATTCCAAAGGAAGAATAGGTCGGCGCCCAATTGATATCCCGACAAGTTCTTCTGGAGTCTTGTCTGATTTCACATATCGTTCTAAGGTACCTTTTGGTACTCCAAAAACTTTTGAGGCCTTCAAATAGCCCATCTCTCTATTTCTTACTGTATTTACAGCACGTATCATATTATCTGCGTTCCATTTTTTATTTTTTGGCGGCATCTACAAACAACAAAACACATAAAAATAAAAAATTTACAAGGGGTCCTAATTTGAGACACTCTCAAATTTGGAACCTACAGGTATCTCAAATTAGGATTTTTCCGTTAAAAATAAAACGCATATTTTTTGGTTATGTATGACACACAATTATCGTTTAATTTGCATAAAATGTATTAACTAATATTAAACTAACAAAAAAAAATAATTGGAGTAAATGTAATCATCTTACCTTGATGTATTGTAAGTTTTTAAAAATTCCGAAAAAAATTTGTGTAATGTGTAAATCAAATTACCGTCGACAAAACAACAAAGGTCACTTCTAAGCGTCAACTAAAAGCAGATCTACCATTACTTCACAGAATGATCAGTTTTTAATATTTTAACTAGATGTCACACTATCGTACACAAATATACGACGGTGTCTCAAATTAGGCGCCTGTCTCAAATTCGGTGCCTTTCCCCTAAATTTAACTGGGCAACTGCCCATATTTTCAAACACAATACCAGGCACATCTGAATGTAAATATACTCCTGGCAGAGCACTTTTATTTTAATTTTTATTAAATGCTTTTATTACAAATAAATGTATTTTTACACAGTCTCAACGAAATACGAGGTGACTATACAATGAAATTGTATTCCATATATATTGGAGAGAATTTTACTATCATAATTGAGAGTTGTGAGTTGTCTTTTTAAAGACAAATATGATTTTAAATTTAACTGAATATATACCTGGCGGCTATATATTCAGTTAAATTTAAATGAATTAACTAACCTCCAATAAAGTCCTATCAGGAATTAGAATTTAGATTTTGTATAAATTAAAAAAAAAACAAATTTTTTTAATTTATATTAATCTCAATTAAAGTGCTTATTTTTAGGTCACAATCTAGGCAGACTAATGTTGAAGAAAAAGTACATCCTGTTTTAGAAAATATAAGCCTTGGTTCATGTGAGGTGTGTAAAAATAATGACATATCTAAAGATGAAGACAACATAGATAATATTATAGAAGTGCAAAGTAAAGCATTTGAGGAAAATATTCAAATATTGAAAACATTTTATGGGGATATAACAAAAGGTGATAACTAAAATTATTTATAAAGACTAAATGCATTTTTATATTGTAATATAATATTAAATATAGATCTATTGTTGGTGTTTTATTGGTAATAGTCAAATTAGCACTAGTTATATTTGAAATAAATTTCTTTCAGCATCAGGTACTTTAATTTCTTAAAATTCTAAGTTAAAAGTGTTTGGCAATAAGGCTTCTGCCATCATAAGATAAATTAATTATACAAAACAAAACTTTCCAATTTTAAGTCTAGGATTCTTTTTATTTCTTTATTTGCGATTCAGTGTAATTATGCAAAAATTTTAATCATACAAAAAATAAATGTTGGAACAGTAAATAACAAAGAATGTACAAAACACAAGGACATCAAGCTATCACACACAGTTCTTAAGCTGAGCTTTAAATTCTTTTGGACTACTATAACAATCCAACCTTTGGGAATAATGAATAGCAAACCTTGGTGTTCTAGATGTGAATGAATTGAGTCCGTAGTTTGTGCGATGGGGTCTAACATAAAAGGGTTGATTTAGCCTTGTTTGTCTACTGGGAACATGGAGATTATTTTTTCCAATAGTTGAGGACCAAAAATAATAGAGTGCAGTATACTATAAAACATAGTGAGATCCTTGTGCATGCTTCGGATTTGGAGAGAAGTTATGTTGAGGGACCTTTCCATATTTGAATAGTTAATTTCTTCAATCCTCTGGTTTTGTTTAAATGCAACAAATCTTAAGAATTTGTGTTGAACTCTCTCAATAGCTTGAATATGGGTGTTATAGTGAGGAGACCAAACACATGAACAGTAATCTAGGTGGGGTCTCACAAGTGAACACTACAAAATTTTTATGGATGGGATATTTAGAAAGTCTTTAGCACAACGTTTGATAAACCCTAAAAGTTGAAGTGATTTTGTGACAACAGATGAGATATGGGGGATGTAGGATAAGCTGGAATCGAGCACAACACCTAGGTCTTTTATCCGATATACAGAGTCTAAAGGGCAACCATTGAGAGTATAGATATGATTTGTAGGAGCTTTATTCCGACCAAAAACTATTAAATGACACTTTTTAACATTAAATTCCATTGCTGTCACACCAATAGCTCAACTGATCCAAATCAGACTAGTTTTTGATCATCTCATAATACAAATTAGAATGCTAATAGGCTGATAATTGTTCACTTGAGAATTATCTCCAGATTTTAGTATTGGTGTAATAAAGCTAGTTTTAGCTTTAGTTTAGAAGGTTAAAATCTCCCAGGATACATAACTTAAATTCTGGTTACTTTTCAACTAGATTATCTACATTTTCTGCAAATTGCACATACTTCTCAATGATACTATGTGGTGGAAAGTAGTCAGTTGCAAAGATAAACTTATTAAGTTCTTTTATTTTGTGTTTCACTCTGTTATAAGGTCGAATCCATCACTTTGCAGTCTCGCTTTATTTGTAAATAAAAGGGCAATGCTGTATTTAATTCAGAACATGAGCAGCAGAGTGCAAGTGCACCCACCTGTCCGGAAAGAATGTACAGACTGTTTCTACCAGTGGTGGATAGAAACAGATAGATTTAAAATAATTTTTCATAAGTATATTCAATTAAAGTAAAGAATGAATTTGTTAATTTTTATTTTCATAGTTTTAATCATTAATGAAATTTATAGTCAGTTGCACTCGATAAAGTAATGAGTAAAATATTAGAAGTACTTTAATAAATAACAAATTCCTCAATACTTACAATTTATTAACATAACTACCAAAGAAGGGTTTCAATAATACAAAAAAATAACTAGTTTATTTTAACTGATTAAATAATATATTTATTTGTTATTTGTCTAAACAAGAATGTCTTAGTTATATTCCTCACATGCTCACTAATATCTCTAATCCTGAATTTGAATAACTATATCCTCAAAAAGGCTTTCTTCTGATGAACCAGTATTAACAACAAATTGTAAGTGATCCAGCGTAGTGTCTAACAAATGCTCTTTTTCAATTTGAATGTTTTCATATTTTTGTATGTCTACTCTTTAACACTTCCAAAAATTTTGTATTTCTGGAAGTACTCTTAAGTCCATGTTGTTCAAGCTCATAATCTAATACATAAACAGGTGGAAAATGTGGTTTATTGGCCTGTATAATTTTATATACCTCAGGTTTGGTTAGTGTTTGTTGAAAAGGAATACTTTTTTCTGTAACTCTTCACCTTAATATCCCTACGGCTAGCAGACCTCCACATTTTTTCCATTAATTAGCACATTATGCTAGGATGAATTATCAACTACCAGGACCACACTTTTGGGTAAGTTAGGTAATAACTGACTTATCACCCATTTCATAAAATTCAGGTGGTTCATATTGTGATGATAGTCGCAAAAAGTAAGTATTTATGGCTTATATTACTTTTATTAAAATTGACTTTTTAATTATAAACATGCACCTGACTTAAAAATTAACACGATGTTTCGTACAAATTCAGTCTCTCCTCTAGCATGAACAATAATCAGCTTTTTGCCCTTAGAATCTGTTTCTTTAAAATTGTTCAAGTATGATCTGCCCAGTAATATGGTGCAGTATGGCTGCTGTGTATACAGATAACGACATTGTTGTTGACCATAGGAATTGAGATTTATTGCAATCCCATCTCTTGAGTATATTTATTATAATGCTCTAAAACTAATGTTTTTGGGTATTTTTTAGCCTTAATAGCAAAACGAATAAATAAGTAATATGTTTTATTGTCACTAAAAATTGTACAAATTTTATGGACAAAGCTTATAACAATAAGACAAGAAAGAAGAAAAAAATCAGAATAAGAATCGTTTGTAGTTTTAAATAAAAAAAAAGAATAAGATTCTTCCAAACTTAAACATAAAAAATATTACCTAATTAAGAACCTACAAACTTAGTAAAATGTACCTAACAAAAAAAAATTAGGAAAGCAGATTAATGAATTAAGGGCTTAAATATTCCACCTCCTTGTGCTAAACAGTAACCAAATCTGTCATACAAATTTCTCCTCATATTTTGGAGTAGGGCTGGTGTAAAGCTTGCAGAGAAATTAAGTATTTTTGCCCTTAATTCGACTAGGTTTGTGACAATTTCAAACTGATGCCTATAAATGTTTTCTTTGAGAAAACCCCAAAAAAAAGAAATTGTTAGGCGCCAAGTCAGAGGATCTAGCGGGCCATTTAATTGTACCAGTGTACTTATCAGGAAACATTTGATTGAGGAAGTCAATAGTTGCTCTAGAGTTGTGAGCCAAACACCCATCCTGTTGGAAATAAACCTCCTGAAAATTAACGGGAAGGCGTCGAACTGCCGGAATGATCTCATTCTGTAAAAGTTGTAAATATTTGGGCCCGTTTAGGTTTCCATCGATAAAAAATGGAAACACAATATGGTCACCTAACATCCCAGTCCAAACATTTAACTTTTGCGATACTGAGTTCGCACTGTAACACCGAGGTGCTTATTGTGTATGGCGATTGTGTTTTTTATGTAATGAAAAGGAAAATTCGTCGGAAAATAAAATATTTTTTAAAAAGTGTACATTTTCATTCTGTTTATCTAACATAAATTCACAAAACTCCATCAGCCTATTCACAGAATAATAAACAATCGGAATGCCCACTCTCAGATGCCGCCTTTGAAGTTTTTCAGCATGTGTGCCATGTTTTAGAAGGAAACACAGATTCAAATTGAGAATCACATTTGGTGTAATGGCTAATGGGTCTTTATCGACATATGATTTGCGAGGTTATGTAATTGTTTATAGTTATGTTTAATTATATTATATTTATGTTATTATATTAAACAATATTAAAATAATTGTATAGTATATCTATAATTGCCGTAAGTCAATTAAACAGGGTTAATTTTTCTATGCACACCACATAAATTTTCATTAAACAACACTGGTTCCCTTTAAAATATAGCAGAACGTCTACGCGTACTTAATTTTCCATGGTGAGTGGAGTGGGCCTTCTGATTGTTTATTATTCTGTGCTAAAGTTATCTTCCAGAAACAGTTCTTGTGTTAGTTGTGTCTTAAAACAGTGATACCCATTCCCTTTGAGAACTTGCTGGACAATTCGAGCATGCACGTTAACTTCTCTAGCAATTTGTAGACTATTGCAGGGTTCACTAGCTTCCACAAAAGCACAAATATCAATATCCCTGTTTTGACGCTCCTCATGGACAGATCTAACACGTGATTCATTACCTTAATAACAGTCTTTACAACTCTTAACACATCCCGAAGTTTGAAAATGTTTAATAATATTTTCAACTGTTGTAACACTTGGTGCCGGTCTATTTTCGAAGGTAACAATAAATAAATCAATTACTTCGCGTATCGAATGACCCTGAAAGTACCATTTTACAAGTTGCACTTTTTCTTGGACAGTATACGACGTACTAGGCATTTTATTAATTATTTGTTTACTCTTTCAGAACTTCCTTTGAAATTTTTAATGTCAATGTCATCAATGTGACAATTATTCGTACCTACTGTGAAATGAATATAGAGGTGGAAACGTGTCATGTCACAGCGATTGCCTTGCCATTGTGTTATATTGTCGTGATCTGTATCTTTCATCATTCATCATTATAAAATAAATTATGGTTCCAACCTCAGATCGAAATTGAATTATTAAGTAAACGCCATCACGTTTTAAATAGGCCCGCATTATAAAAGAGAGTTTTGAACACAAAAAATATTTTTTTATATGCCAAATAACAATTCCACAGAGACCACTTATTAAAAATAGACGCGAAGTTTACTACAATAAAGCCGGTAATTTGAGGTTATGTATATACATGTAAAGAATTTATTTAGATTATAAAAAAAAATTAGAAATTTATATCAAGATGAGCACTCAATCTTCACAGAATGGTAATGTTAGCGAAAGTACTGAAGCTGAAAATAGATTAATAGAATTAGCAAAATCTAATTCAGAAGGTATTTCAAATGATGACATAACAAAGCATATGCCTGATGTACCCCTTACAGAAATAACAACTATTATTAATAAATGTTTAAAAAATGGGTATGTGATATCAATAATACAAATTTTTTATTATATAAAAATATGTTTTTAGCACATTTGATTTGTTTAAAACCAAAGATAACCTCTTATACAAATACAAGGATCCATCTAAGAAAACAAATATTAAAGGAGCAGATAGTGAGGAGAAAGTGGTATATAAAATAATAGAAGAAGCAGGAAACAAGGGCATATGGATAAGAGATATCAGATTTAGTTCAAATTTAAATATGACACAGCTTAACAAAGTATTGAAAAGTTTAGAAACCAAGAAACTGATAAAAGCTGTAAAATCAGTGTCTGTAAGTAATTATACCATCTAAATTTATAACTCTTTTTGTGTACTATACAAGTAACTATGAGTATAAGTATACTTATTTAATTTATTACCTTATATATAAATAAAAATATATAAAACATGATGATTATTTTTTAGGCCAGTAAAAAGAAAGTTTATATGCTGTATGATTTAGAACCAGACAGGACAGTAACAGGAGGGGCTTGGTATCAAGATCAAGATTTTGAATCAGAATTTGTTGATGTGTTAAGCCAACAATGTCATAGATTTTTAGTAGAAAAGTGGGAAGAAGCTAATAAAAAAGCTGGTGGTCCCCTTTTAGTAAGAAACAGAAGTTATGCCACAGCTAGTGATGTCCACAAATTTATTTCTGAACTGGGTATCAGTAAAGTTTCTCTAACAGTAGATGATATAGAAAGCATTTTATATACAGTAGTCTTGGATAACAATGCTGAACGGATTCTAGCAGCAAATGGTTCTTACTTATATAAAGCTGTAAATAGGTTTTTGCCAACACCAGGGCTAGTAAAGATAACATGTGGGATGTGTCCTGTGGCTAATAGATGTGCAGATACAGGACTTATTAATCCGAAAGCCTGTAACTATTTTACAGAATGGTTGAATCAATAAATACACACATGTTTTATTTTATTTTATTCCAATGCCCTCTGAAGACAGGATACAAAATCTCCATCGTATTCTCTGACTAATCATCGATAGGCAACATCTCAGATAAACTCACTGTAGGTTTATGCTATAATATGAAGGTGCCCGTAGTGTTAAAAAAAAACAAATCATCCTCTAAGTACATGTTATTATTTTTGATTATCTCTGTCAGAACGGGATGAACTATGTCCTCTAATATTTCTGAATATGCTGCTCCATTCAAACTTTGTTGTAAAAAGAATGGACCAAAAATATGATCCAGGTAAATTCCTATCCATACATTTAATTTTAATGACTGTTTAGTATGTGTTTCATGGAAAACTGTAGGATTTTCATCAACCCACTAACAGCAATTGCGTCGATTTACAGTACTATTTAGGAAAAAAGGAACATTCATCTGAAAAACAAATATGAAATGGCAAGTTTGGATTACTATTTATTTTCTGTCATAATCTCACACGCCTGGATCATCTTCATTTATTTTCTGTGTGTTAGTGTGTCAGCAACAATAATCTTGAATAATGAGAGTGTCTATTTGTCAATTTTGATTAAATGTATGTAATACAAGATCCTGCACTGCAAGACACTGCAGTGTCACTTCGTCCATAACATAGTTAATCAAATTCACATTTTTACATACATTTAAAATTAGGAGAGATATATCACAGATATAAATATATATTTGGTGGTAAAGACTTAGTATCTCATATAAAAATATGAAGACTAAGATGGGCAGGACATCTGGCAAGATCACAGCAGAACAACCCTCCTAAAAGAACCCTTATGTCACAACCTGTGGGAAGGGAAATAAAATTTTTGACCCAAAAATTTTATTTCATTCATTTATTTTTTGAATAAAATATGCTGTTCATGATATATTGATATATATATAATATATTATCATATATTATATATATTATTACAAAATTTATATATTCATATATATATTTATAATATAATATGATATATATATATATATGCATTCTTTTTATATCAAATTAAAGCTAATTTTTTTCTTAATATGATGATATAAGCAATCAAATGGGCGATTTGGTTATGGTTATTATACTTCAAAGCACTCCTTAAGAGAGTGACTGCATAAACTCAAACAGTGACCGTCGGCTTAAAACCATCATGAAAGATGTAGTTAGGGGGAAGTGGGAAAGGAGTACGAACGGAGCTATTTATTTAACTTATGCATCCAGTCTTAATCAAATTTCGATGCCATTGATTTGCTGTTTTCTTCACAATAAAATATTTTAATATATTAAATTTTTAACTTTAAAACTACCTAAAAAGGTATGAAATTTACAATATTCAAAGTATTTATTTTTTTTATTACATGTAAATAAAATTTTATAACTCTGAATTAAAAATAGGTTTGTTCCAACACTACGAAAAACCGTCACATAACTATTATACCGTTTTCCTGTCCAAAAATTTACGAAACATTTTAAAAAGTTTTCAAAATATATTCGACCAAAAATTTCAATTTCTCAGAACTTTCCATTAAACTTTTTAGACTTTTTTCGAAATTATTTTATGTATAGTACCGTAGAACAAATATAATCTTCATAACTGATTTTTTTATTCATATATGAATGAATGAATAAATTATTGGTTTCAAAATTGAAGGCAAATGTTAACTAGTATTTAATTACTACATAGTATATTCAACTTAATATTCTTTTCATTATACAGGGTGGTCCTTAAGTAATTGTACAAAAAGAAACCATAGATTCTACACTTTAAATATTAAGTATTAAAATATTTATACGATTAAGCCAAATTGCTTTAATAAAATGTTGATATTAAGAAAGATACAGGGTGTGTGTAAAAGTGGAAATTTAAAATTTTAATTTTTACTACAACTTTCATTTTGTGAACATTTATGTATCAAAATTCATAACTGGGTATTATTGAACAGGAATTATAATTTGATGCATACTTTAATTTAGCTGTACCGGTGTTTGTGATAAAAAATATTGAAGATATATTATTTTAACAAAAAAGGTGTACTTGTTAATAACTTCAAAACTCAACAGTTTTCGAGATAATCGCATTTTACAAATCAACTACATAATTTAGATTTAACGCAATTACTCCAGGCAACGAAAGAAAATTAGACAAAAACATCAATACTTCTGAATTTTGGTATAAAATGCCTTTAATAAAGTTAATAATTAACGAAATATTACATAAAATAAATATATTAGCAGGATAATTTGCAATAGGATTTGACAAAATAACAGAATGATTGGATTTTACATCAAACATTTTACGTTTTATATTAAATTAAACTAAATAACATTAAACTTTTGTCAAAGTAAGTGTTCGATATGTCCACCATTTTCTTTAATTCATTTGTCAATACATTTCATAAAAGATCGTCTCATTAAATAACATCATTGGTTCTAAAGAAACTGCTGCAGTATTTATTATAAGTATATTAATATATAAGTACTCTTTTGGGATTTTTTATGAATTAAATAACTATATTAATATTTCACCACATGACCAAGGAATATGACTACCACGAACAATCCAACGTTCAGGAAAGTTGTATTTAAGTATGTTCTCACTGCCCTCTCTCTATAATGTGGTAGTGTACCATCTTGCATAAACCACATATTTCGCCTTAAGTTTGATGACAATTCTTCCAATAAATCAATAAAATAATTTTATAAAAAATGTAAATAAATCTCACCATTCAATAAAGGCGGAGTCCCATGCATCCGATTTCCGACGACACGATGATCCGAAAGTATTCTCATTGGTCAGAATCGAATCAGAATATTTTCGCGCCGAATTTCATCCGAAATTTTTAACTACGCTTCCGACATCGGATAAAGATAAAATTATTTTAACTTTTTCCGACAAAACGGATGTTTTGTAACCTAATTGTATTCCAATAGTTTAACATCTGTACATTTAATTTATTGAAACATGAATTTTAATCGAAGAAGCTATGTTCGTAAAGTTAATAAAACGCTATTATTATGTCTGCTTCTTTTAATTCGCAAAAAAAAACAAAACATACAATTCGACAAAGAAAATATTGGGTTAGTTAAATATTTCAGTAAAAAAGTCACAAGGGGCTTTTAATAATATATTGCACTCTTGCAGGAAATGAAGCTAAATGATGTTGATAAATATTTGCAATTACCTTAGAATGCGTAATTACACATTTCATAAGTTACATATAGTTTCTTCTTCGTTATCCATAATAAACTGAGTAATTGAAAGCAGGAGAAGGGATTATATACCATGCGGAAATAATCCCTTCTGCTGTTTTACTAAGCAAAAGTGGTAAAACAGCAATTACCAGCCAAACATCCAAACAATAAACAAAAAATTGACAGTTAACAGTTTATACGGATTTTCGTATCCGACAATCGCATCCATGTGACTAGCTTCCAAATAGCAACTACGAAAGCATACGATTTTCGGATGTCGGAAATCGGATACATGGACCCCGCCTTCACAAGGTAATTCGCATGTCCGTAAAAATAATTACCAATGGTTCCAAACCATATGTTTATTTAAAATTCATGTTTAAAATGCATATCGTTCTTTATCACATATGCATATCGTTTTTATGTCTTTTGGTTGATGTTTCACTGGAAGTTCCTGCCAAGGCAAATGTCTAGATCCGAACATTTTTATTAATTTAGGATTTCAGAACAAATATCTGACAACCTTGATTTGAAAACCAGTCTGTTTAATGATATTTTTTTAATTACCGCATTGCCAGATTCCGGTAAGAGCCTAAGAAGGTATCCATTGAATTCTGACAGGCAACGGTGGTGGAAATCTTTTTTGGACATCTACGTCACGGAACAAGACACCCTTGCATTTTTAAGCCGAGTAGGATACTAGCCCAGAAGACCCAGGGATTAACCGTGTTCCGGCTAAAACCTTAACCACCGTTCCAGAGAGGTGGTCTTGCCACTCAATAAACAACTAAAATAAAAAACTAAAAATTTATAAATAACCATACCTATTACCGTAAATCAGAAAATGTTTAGACGTTAGGCCATAAACTAATAAATAATAACTATAAATTTCAGATCCCTGGCTCAATTTCCTCTTCTGTCCTCCTGCTCCTTTTCTTCATCGCCCCAGAAATCAGACAGTGTACTTCTCTCCATTCTCTCCTCTCAACATTATGTTTACAATGTTTCTTTCATCCAGGCCGAAACCCATTGGCCTCTCGAAATCTCCCATCTCCTTTGCCCATCTCTGGCAGTTAAAAATGTGGACGGGAGCGTCCGGTACCCCACAAACAGTATAGTCTGCCATTCTATTTGTGAAGGTGCCAAAACTACCATGTCCGGTCAGGAAGTAGTCTAGTTTCCTGAACTTACATTCCCACTATGGTCTCACATCGGGAATAAGCTCCTTCGTCCACCTTGCATTTCCACTATCATTCGCCCATTCTCTCTGCCACTCTACTATCGTTCTTTCTCTCTCATTCTTATCTATATTTACATCCATCCTCCTCGCTCGCTCTTTACACAACAAAACGATCGGTATCACCGCTCCAATAAGCCTCATTTTCAACTGTTCTATATGCTCTAGATACCCTGAGGAGCATTCGCATTTGCGAAGTTTCCATCAGCTTAGCGTATTTCGCAGTGTTTAGTACACTACACCACGCAGGGGCAGCGTAGGTTACCACCAACTGGAAAACTCCATTTAGCACCTTTCTTTTGGTGCTTCCTGGACCTCCAATGTTTGGCATTAGCCGTATCAACGCCTCCAGATTTCGCTTCGCCTTCTCTACTGTCTTTTGGATGTGTACTCCAAACCTTAGACATTCCGACAACCAGACTCCCAGATACTTAATTGATTTTACCGGTGCAACCTCCACACCTTCCACTATAAAGCGAAGAGAGGATTTTTCCCGGGTCCCTTTGAGAACTAACACCTCAGTTTTTTGAGGCACTAGCTAGCTGTAGATCGTTCTCTCTGATCC